GTCCCTTGGGCAATGCTAGTGAATGAATGAATAAAGGAATGAATGAATGAACAGACGAATGAGCAATTGCCTGGGTGGATAGTTAACGTAAGCCATCACTCCGCCGTCAGTGAAATCGCATCAGTGCCTACTGACTGCGTGAAGAGCAGGGCCGCACAGTGTGCCGGGCAGAGCGCTGGGCCCGGGGGACTTGGGGTCACAGCAGGGTGGGGGGTGTAAGGTGATCATTTCTGGCAAATGGCGATAGTGGGTCTTGGGCAAAGTCTGTCTGTATCAGCTGCTTTGCGGGCGGACAGCTCAGCCCTGGACCACACAGTGTTCCCTGAGCTTTCAGGGATTTGGGGGAAGGAGATAACTTGGAGAATTCTGTTTACTAAGAAGACTCAGAAGGTGCCCCCGGCAGCAGCCCTAAGAATGAAATGGGAACAACACACTCGTGTGGGCAGACACACGCACGCACGCGCATGCCCTGGATCTGCACATGTGATATGTACCCAGAACTTATTAAAGCAAAACTGATTTTGGCTTAGAGAGATTTGATTTTATGCTAAACAAATTTCATCAGGATTTTCATATGAAGAGTCTATTCCTCCGCAGATGTGCCCTGCTCGGCTGCATGCTAATGTGGCCAAATCCAATCTCTGAGTTCTCTGCAGGCCCGTGACTGGGTTCTTAGGACTTGGCTTCCAGCTGCTGGCTGAGCCTGGGGGAGGCAGCTTCTGTCCCAAATGGAGTCCAGAGCACAAAGGAACAAAACCAGAAGGTCAAGGTATGCTTGCCGAGAGCAAGGGCCAGAGGAACATGGTGGTGGCACAAAGAACCCCTTGTGGTCCCTCCACCAGGTTCTAGCAATTCACAGAAGCAATTCACTGTCATGCACTGAATATGATGGGCGTGTCAGGTCGTTGGGCAGGCCACCATCCTTCTTTGCCTCTAGGAGGTCCAGGGAGCAGGGCACGGGGACTTAACAAGTACAAATACAAGACATTCAGTTAAATCTGAACTTCCGATAAGCAATGAATAGGTTTTAGGCTAAGTATGTCCCAGGTGAGCCCAAGCCTGTCCAGATAGAGAGGTGGGCATGGCTCGAGCCTTGCTGGGACCCACAGTGGGTAAAGCTGTCTCCCAGAGGGTTGATGCAAATGCAAACCCTGATCTTGTGCTTTTGCAGACTGAACTGGAAAGCCCTGCCTTCCTCTCTGCAATTAGAGAGGTGTCCATTGCACTGGATTCTCTTCCCTGGCCTCCCAGAGGAGGTAGAAATCCAAAGGAGGTCAGGATGAGCATTACTGTGATGAATGGGTGGGAAAGCAGCATTTACTTGGAATGGTGAGCAGAGCTGAGACTTTCCCAGGATGGGAGTGTGGGAGCCCTCTGTCATCGCAGTGGTGGGCTTGGGGGGTGGGGACTGGTCTCACAGTTTTTTTGCTTTTGTTTTTTTAAATATTTATTTATTTATTTATTTTGAGAGAGAGAGAGAGAGCGCCTGCGTGCACATGCGTGAGCAGGGGCAGAGGCAGAGGGAGAGGGAAAGAGAATCTCTAGCAGACTCCCCTCTGGGCGCAGAGCCCGATGGGGGCTCGATCTCAGGATCCTGAGATCACGACCTGAGCCGAAACCAGGAGTCAGACGCTCAACCGACTGAGCCAGCCAGGCGCCCCTGGTCTCACAGTTAGTAAGTAGTTGTCATGGGGAGGAGCTCAACTGGGCGAGAACTGGGCACAGCTACTGTCTCTGGCTGAGCCAGTGAAAGTGAGTGGAACATGGGGTGCCTGACCCCAGAGGCCAGGGAAGCCCCTCACCACCTGTCTTGAGACTGCAGGGTGGGCAGCAGAGGGCAAATGACCTCCATCCCTGCCAGGTCCTGTCACTGTCTACTCCAGAATATCTCCGAGTGGGCACTCTGGAACCCTCATCAGCACGGCCTGGGAAACTTGAACATGCAGACTACAGCTTCTGCTCTAGGAGGGACCAGGTCACTGAGAGTTGGACCTGCATTCCAGGACGTTCCTGAAGCAAGGCTATCCTGCGTGAACACCCCTGCTCCAGCCTGAGAAATCTCCGGGCGCGGGAGCGGGCTTCCCGTCATGCTCTCTCTGAGCCTCTCCCCAGCCCAGGCAGGGAGCATCCCTGGGACCAGGCAGAAGGGTTCTCTGTCCCCAGGACCCTGGCACAGGGCTGGGCTCAGCAAGAGAAGATACCGGTGAGTGACTGAATCTGTGATATATCGAAAGATGCATCATGTCAGGACAGGCAGTCTTTTGTCTGCTTCAGCCCTCCATAAAATAAACAGATACAACATTAATCTCATGACAGGCCATTAGGTAGACACCAGGATCCAATTTTACAGATAGAGAAACTGAGGCTGCTGTTGGCAGGAAGTGGGGATGCTGGGGAAAGGGCTCAGGCTGCCGGGGCCCCGGGGAACTGCTCTTATTCATGATCCATCCTCAGATTCCAGTCTCCAGATACCGAGCTACATCCAGACTTCTTGGCAGGGCTCCTGCTCTGGGGTCCCCTCGTCACTGCTAGGTTTGGGGTGCTGGCAGGGGCCTGGATCCGTGTGACCCTCGCAGCTCAATCCCTGTCTGCCGGTTCTCCTGGTGAAATACGGAGGCCAGCAGTCACCGGTCTCCTCCCGTCTCTTCTCACCTTCAGTCCCTTTCGCTTCCCCTCGCCCCCTGCCATGGGGGCGCTGCTGCCCGGCCTGCTGTCCCTCAGAGCTCTTCCTCACCCCCGGAGCCATCAGCTCCGAAGGGCCTGCCACCATGGCTCATGCATTCATTTGTGCGGCCACGTACGTCAGCAACACGCGTGGAGCATCTTCTGTGAGCTGGGCCCTGGGCATCTATCTCTGGGGTGGATGGTCCATCTTTGCCCCCTCACTCCCGCTGGCCCTGCCCCACCGCCAGCCCGCGCTGGCCGCAGCCCCTGCAGCTCCTGGACCACAGCCTCTCTTCCTCCCAGCCTCCGCGTGACCCGCCTTCTCTCTTTGCCGGCCTGCCCCTTCTGGCTCCGGCCTGGCCTGCCCTGCGGTCTCCTCTTCCTGCAACATCCTACTCTCCACCTGCCCGCGGCTAAGTCATGTCTGTCCTTCCAGGCTTTGCTCTAAGGCCACCTCCTTCAGCCAGGGTCCTGGGCTGAATTTTGTCCCGCCAAATTCGTGGGTTGAAGTCCCGATCCCTAGGACCTCAGAATGTGACAGTGTTTGGAGATAACATCTCTAAAGAGGTAATTAAAGTAAAATGTCATGAGGATGGACCTTAATCCAACATGACTGGTATCTTTCTTTATAAGAAGAGGAGGTTAGGACACAGAGAGACACAGAGGAAGATCCGTGTGAGGACGCAGAGAGAGACAGCCACCTACAAGCCAGGGAGAAACGCCTCGGAAGAAACCAACCCTGCCGACCAACACCTTGATCTTGAACTTCCAGGCTCCAGAACTGTGAAAAGTCTTTCCAGCCTGTGGCACTTTGTCCTGGCAGCCTGAGCAGACTATGACAGCCACAATATCGCCCGGGGCCTACCTTTGGGCATGGTGCATCTCTCTCTTTAGCATTCCACCTCAAAGTCACGTTTGTTTGCACACACATCTTAGCCCCAAGACTCCAACAGTAAGACCTGATGCCCTCCCCCGCTTTTCCCAGTGATGTGAGGAAGCAAAAGGCAGCATTCAGGATATGTTTGTCAAGTGAATGAGCCCAAGGCAGCCTTTGGGCCATCAGACCTTTCAGCCCCAGGAAAATGCAATGAATGGTGTTTTGAAACAAGACAGCAGGCCCAGCCTTGATATTTATGACCCTGCTTCTTGGCCTTCCTGGGGAGTGGTGCTCTCTGCTCTTCAATTTATGGTCCTTCGGTGCAGCCCCAGACTGACGAGGGGATTGCAAATGGGCTCTTTGCTAACAGCACATGCAGACAGTGCCAGGGGTGGTGTGATCCTTGGCCCTGGGGTCAGACACAGGCCCTTCTCATCCAGGGAGGGGCGCAATGGACCTCAGAAGCACCTCCTCCTCCATCCTGCCCTTTGCAAAGCCCTCGAAATTTACAGATAGATCACTCTTTCCTATCCATCCCTCACTCACTCTCTTTGGCATAGCTGCATACCACCTCTATGTTCTTAAAATTTATCTTTAAATCGACTCACTGCCCCCAGAGGCCGGATGACCCAGGTCATAAAACACTCCATTTTCTTGCCATCCCCAGGTCTGAGCTATGTTGGGTAGGGACACTCATCAGGGCCTCTCCAGGACTTGCAGAAATATGGAAAGGATTGTGTTCCCTGGAGAGGAAATCTCAGGTAGGGGAGTTGTTAAGGAGCTTCATTACCCTAAATCCCCATGCACCCACCTGGACTTGACTTCATTGAAGAGGCAGTGAATTTCCTCTCAAGGAGCTCTGAAAGGCTGGGGGTAGAGAGAAGACACTGGAATAGAGTGATGCCTTCAGTGCCCAATGACGGGACTGAGAGTGACCCATGCTCTGGAAGGCACTGGAATTCCTCAGAGGGGCTCCACTAACTACCTCACCTGCCATATTCTCCGCTGGAGGGCAGAAGTCACACAGCAGCCCAGATTCTTCCAGGATGAGCTCCAGCTCCGAATCGGCATGTGGACTGGGGCCCTTGACCTTTGTGTAAGGATAGGCTCTGGGAAGAGCCTGCCAAGCCCAAGCCTGTTGTGGGGTACAAAGACAGGGCAGGCATACCATGGTGGGGTGTCTCTCCCCCATCTCCCAGGCTGGCATGGGCAGCCTCATGTCCACGTCCTGTGGCTCAGCCACAGAAGTAGGCCTCCTGAGTGTGGCCCCTCACTCCCCATGAGCCCCTGTCCAGCAGGCAAGCCTGCAAGAGAGCCAGCTTCCACAGAGGGAGACGGGAGGGCCTGAGAAACATTCTTGAGAGTGGGCTGTGCGTCCCTGAGGGCTTCTTGCCTTTCTAGGTACGGGAGGCAAACAACTGAGTGGAAGAGGGTGGTGATTTTATACTCAAAAGCCCTCTTGCATCTGGAAAATAGTTGTTTTAATAAAATAAAGACAATCCAATATTTCCCATTAGTTTCTAGTAAGCGACCCAATTTTTTTTCCCCACGTAATGAGCCCTCCGTAAAGGTGAGTCCTGTGAGTTCGTGGGCAGCTAGTGAGCAAGTCACGGTTTCCAGATCACCGCTCCCAGGCTCCCAGGGTGCTTTCCTTTTTATAGAGTGCGTCCTTGGACAATCCAAGGCCAAAGTCCCACGGGCCATAGAGTGGTTCAGGGTGTGCGTCTCTGAGGCCAGCAGCCCCTTCCTCGGGGGAGACTCTCCTGAGCCCCAGGCACTGCGTCAGCCCACATTTGCGGGGTGCTGCTGCAGCTCAGGACACACGCTGCTCGGCCAGACTTCCACCGTCTCTTTCTTCCTACCCTTCTGCAGACCAGCAGAATATTCTCCCCTTCTCATCGCCGACCAGGAGTCTGGTCTGGTTTCTTGGGAAGAGAAGGAATAGACAGGAGCGTTAGAGCCAAGTGTGAGTCCCACTTAGCCCAGCCGGCCCTCAGGCAACTGTGACACAGGGGGTTCAGTCCAGGACCCCGTGGGGCCTGCACCTGGCCTCCACCTGAGGCAGGGGGAGGGGCTGGGAGAACTGGAGAATGTTTTGACCCGGGGGGAGGGGGACTTTTGAACTAGGAGGGTTGTGGCCTCCTTCGTGACTACGGAGGGACACTCCAAGATGTCCAGGCTGCAAGTGGCAGGATGAAGCCCAGACTTTTCTCGCCAACATCTCCAGGTGTGCCTGATGTCCCCCCAGCCAAACGAATGGCAAGGTTTCTAGCAGAGAAGTAGGGCTCTGGACCCTCTGTCCCTTTGCCCATGGCCCACCCTAGCCTACCTCACTTCAGTCTGGCTTCTAGAACACTGTGTGGGTCCCACCACCACGGACCCTGAGCCACCCACTCCAGGGCAGTGAGGGAAGAAGGGAAGCAGCTCTCCAAGGTCCATAGCCTCCTGAGGCTACACTTCCTAGTGTGTGGAATGGATTAATGATAGGAAGTACCACTTACTGCCACGGGGTAGCTGTGAAGAATAAAATGCTCTCTTATCAAGGGTAGTGTCTCAGACTCGGCTATTCTACACTGCCTTAGAGCTTTCAAAATTTTTTTTTTTTTTTTTTTTGTGACGTAGGATCATCACTACACCAAATGTTATAATCGGTAGTGAGCCTCAGGAAAAAAGTCTCTCTATAGCATGAAACTACAAAGCCATATACTTTTACCCTTTAGATTTCTTCATGAATTCATGGATATTTGAGAGCGAGCGAGCAAGAACATGTGCGTGTTAAAAAAACGTCCCAGGGCCCGACATGGGCACCTTGTTTGCCTCTTGTGCGTGGTGGGCCCTCCCAGGTCCCTGTAGTAGTGAGACCACCTTCCAGGGCCAGGCAGCCTGAGCCTAGAGCTGTAGGGGGGGGCCTTTCCTAGGGGTGCCCCTGGCGCCCCCTGCTGGAGGCCTGAAGAAGCCAGGCCTTGGTTACCTGGACAGGGCCAGAGCTGTCACCGCAGGGCTGGTCTTGCTGGGCTTCCCGGTCAAAGCAAGGCTGACATCCAGCTCTCGGCACAGGGCAAGATTCTTCTGCCACCTGTGACCTGTGCGGATGGTGCAAGGGAATCGTTTGAAACCCCGAGTGGGCTCACACACATGCACATGTACGTCCACATGCAGGGCCACAAACACATACACACGTATTTATATTTGTGGTCAGCAACTTGTTAAATTGAGGGGGAAAATATATTTAATCTTGGCCTGTGCTGTTGCAAAAAGGGCCGTCCCAATTTAATTTGCAGCCTGTGATAGTTCCATGTGCTGACGTGCTGCGGTATCCATTGTGTACCAAATTGGATTTGTGTATTATTGCTTTCTAAATTGCATGCCTAGTTCAGCAAAATTGTTCATCAGTGTTTACTGGCTTTATGCTTAATAAGATGCCCCACAATACCTTGCTGCCAGGATGTAATGCAGCCCGTAATTGCCTAGTAAAAACAAATTACATAAAGTCGGCATTATCAACTTATCTAAATCCTCTCACGCCACAACCAATAATTAAATGCTGAGAACGTTTTTTCAAGAAATATAACTCAATGATTGTTACTTCACTCATTTTAATGACTGCATTTGGGGACAGACAGTAATTCCTTCAGCATGGAAGGGTGAGATGGAGACACATGGGCAGGGTACATCCCCGCGAGGTCCCTCGGCAGCCGGGCGGGAAGATGCCGCTGCCCCAGCTGGGCCCAGGAAATGCATGCGCATTTTGTGTCCGTGCAAAAGTCCAAACAACAAGCCTTCCCCAAGCACTTTTTATGTACCAGGTTGAGTCCAAATCTACGGGGTGATTCCTAAAACGAATTGTGCTCAACGGGGTTGGTCCTTGCTTCAAATGACAAATAAATGAATTCCAAGCAGAAATTAGATTACATCTGTACACAAATGCAGCATCCTTAATATCTTCAAAGATCTCCTCTCTTTCCCCTTACGACATCTGAGGGATGCAGCGATATACACGCCAACAGGACACGTGTGCAAATATCTATGTGTCGTGCCCAATACTGTCGCTTTCCAGCAAAACCGTTTCGAGCAGTATTTTGAGAACAGCAAGACCTCCACTGGCTTGGGTTTGCAAGCCTTCACATGGACTTGCTAGCTCCATACTGTGGCCCAGCCTGGTTTTCATGAATGTGTCTGCGCCCTCATGTCATTTCACCTGAATCCTCCCTTGAACTGTGATCACAACCCTGGCACGTAATTCTATTTGACAGTGGTGACCTCAGGCAGGTCAGGGCAAACGGCAAGGGAAGGATGTGGACCTGGGCCTGAGGGGACTCTTGCCAGCCTGAAACTGTCTTTGAGCTCCCTAATGTCATCAGCTGGTATATGGCGGGGGGGGGAAGCTCTTTCAAGCCTGTGAAAATTATAAGGATGACCTGCATTTTGTTGAGTAGATTCTTGTCTATGTCCTATTATTTTTCTGTCATCACGTTAGGATGTACAGGAGCACCCCCATCTCACGGGGGGGGGGTAACTGAGGGACAGAGAAGCTGTTGGGGACAGAGCCAGGTCTAGAGCCTTGTCTCCTGCTTTTTATCTCATTTTCCATTGCTCTGGACCCCACTCCCAATGAGCACAGTCTCAGCACAACTGCTGATTCCGAGTAGAAACCCATGAATACGCTGGCACTTCCAGAATCAGCAGAATGTCTCTGACGTGCCCTTTGTTCATCTGTCTTTCCATCCACGCAGCGTTCTTGTTCAGACATCCATTTATCTGCCTTTACTTCATTGTACCACCATGGCTCCAGAAGTGGGCAGTAGCGCCCACGCCGGAACTGGCATGCTCTCGGGCAGGTGTACCACAGACAGGGTACACCTGGGCAGGCTAGAGAACAAGGATCCTGTGCTAGCTCTCTTCCAAGACCGTGGCAGTCGGGGAGGAAGTCCGGGCCCTGCTCTCCAAAGAAGTGCTGTCAGTTTCTTAGAATACACAAGCCCCACACATCTTTCTTTTTACTCTGAGATGGGCTGATGCCCTGTAGTCCCAAAGACCCTTGAGACACTAGGAATAATGAAGTGAATGTGGTTGTAGATCCTTGTGAGGTCACCGCTCTGGGTCAGCCCAGATTATTGACAAGTGTTTCCGGACGGCCCTACTTTGAAGGAAGGGATTCCCTGTGCAGAGCCTGGGACCTAGTAAGGGCTCATCAGATGTCTGTGTATGCTTCTGTGAAGAAAGAACCATAAATGGATGACTAAATGACTCAAGGAGGTGTGGAGTACATTCTAGAAAGGAACTAACTGAAAATGGCTACTCTTTTCAGAAGGCAGCCCTCAGCACTCTGGAAAATTCTCTCCCATGAAAGATCATGGGTCCTGGGATGCAGAGCAAGCCAGAGAGACTCATGATGACAGGAGAATCCACACTTCATGGTAACACGTTTCCTGTTGTCACAGACACCAGGAAAGATGTCTCAGTCCTGGGCCAAAATCTTCGATGAGGATAGAGCTGAGAAAGGTTTGCTGCACTGGAGGAGGTGACGGTGGGGCCATTGGGACAGCTGTGGTAGAAGGGAAGGAGGTGACGGCTTTGGTGGTGACCTTTGTGTCTATGGTCGGGGGTGGTGCTGTCGATAGTGATGCATGGCAGCATCTGTGGTCGAGGTCAGTCTGGCAGTGTGACGTGAGTCTGAGGTTGGTTGTGTCTGCTCTCGTGGCAGAAGTGAAAACTACAGTAGTCACATAACTTTGGGCAAGTTACTAAGCCTCTCTGTGCTTCGACTTCCTTATCCTACACAGGGGTGTCAGAGTAAAATCGACCTCACACGGTTGCCGTGACAAACAAGAGAACTCACGGCAAGTGCGCACCATGGAAGCCGCTCCTGGCCAGCCCTCTCCCTCCGGGTTCCGAAATGGTGGCCATGTCAGTTGTGGTACCAGCGGCCATGATGGCAGAAGAAAGAGCAGATTTCCCTCCTTTAGGCCCATCTGCCACCACCCAAAGAGGGCTTCGGAATAGTTGCTCCCGTACTTTGGTGCACACCACACTTACCTGGGGACCTGTTGGATATGGAAATCTAACAAGCCCCAATCATTTGCTGGGGTTTAAGGTAGGAACAGGATCCAAATCTACATTTTTAATAAGGCTCCTGGGCGATGCTGATGCAGAGGACCCCCAGACCCACTTTGAGGAGCTTGCCATGGGGTTGGGTGGGTTGAACCAGGATCCACAGGGAAGGCTAGGGCACTATGGAACCACTTCTTCTCCCCAGGCATATGGCAAGGCCCCTCCGTGGCCCCTCCTTGCTCCTGTCTGTAGCCTGGCTGTCTAGGCAAGTAGGTATTTGGACCCAGGCCCTAGGCTGGGAAGTTTGGCATTGAAGAGTCATCCAGGCAGATGGAGAACATTAAACCAAGTTCTGCAAGGCGTGTCCCCCCCCCCCGCCCCATTCTGAAGCTCGGGAGGTCCTGACAACCACCATCACCACTGTTCACATGTCCAGGGAGCATCCCAGAGCTCACTGGTCCCTGCAAGATGGGGCCAGGATGCAACAGGACTTCTCCATGATGCTTCACATCTGCTAGGAGCTTGCAATAAACTGTGCTCTGTCCCCCCAACTTGGCAACATCCAGAGAGACTCGATGGCTTCCCTGGGCTCTGTACGCCTGAATGGCACTACAGGAGGGGAGAGGAGAGGGACGACTGAGCAAGGCAAGCGTGCCCCGCACCCTGAGCAGGGCAGGTACCTCTAGGGCTTGGAGGTGGGGCTGAGGTCTCCTCTGGTGCTGCCAGCCCAGGAACAGACGTCTTCATGTCCTCAGTCCTCCAAATCTGTCCAGAAAAGAGAAAAGGCCATGGCTGGGGAAATGATCCTGTCTGTAGGCTCGGGCCCATCCCATTCCCTCACGTCCAAGGGACTCTGAGGGAAGGTGTGGGAGCCTGGTCCCCTTTCACCTCCACTATTAGTGTATTCTCTGGGAAAGATTACTTGGGCTTCGGCCAAGCACAGTTCAACTTGGATGGGTTCACTCTGCACTCCTGTGACAGGGCATCTGCCCTCAACCTCAGCTCTAGGGGTGACACTCAGCAGCTAGTTTATTGTCATTTTACCTAGCTAATGCCCTCTCATCCTGCTGCCGCCATCCCTGGAGGCCTCCCTCCCCACTCAGCAGCTAGGGTTCCCCATCCTCTGTGTCTGGCTCTTGGTCCCAAGCCCTCTTGTGAGCGTCCTCTGGCTGACCACATATGGCTTCTCACTTGCTGAGTCTGGAAGTTCCGTAGCCAAAGGACAAGGACCAGCCTCCCCTTAATGCTTCTGTGAGCTCCACACCAGGCCTAGCACAGTGCTGGGCCATCCCAGGAGCTCAATTATCTTCCTGGATGAATGAGTGCTGAGGGTATGAAAGACTCCCACTCATGACGTGGGGGCCTGTGAAAGAAATGCACCTGCTACTCAGACAGCCCGGGCTCCTCTGACTGACCCACAGCGTGGACCGCACCCCACCAAGCCCAGGCCTCGCTGACCTCCTCATGTTCTGGCTAGCCCAGGGTGCCCGGCTCTCTGCAGAGACCATGTGCCCCTCAGAGCCCACAGATAAAGGCTTCTTGAGGGGCCTTCCTCAGTCTTATCTCTTGCTGTCATACAGCAAGCTTTCATAAATATTTGTAGAATTCAATGGGCATTTTCTTGAATACCTTGTGGCATATTTGACATTTCCTTTCATAAACTGTGGAATTCATTTGACAGTTTCTTGAGTTAGCCTCTGAATGATTCCTTCTTTACTTATTCCTTCATCTTTCCTGTCAGTCTCAGAAAAATTACCTTGTTCTTCTCCTTGTGCTAATCCTCACACCTCAGTGTTTGTTTCCTTCTCTTCCTGGTTTCCTGCTGAGGGAGGATGCTCTCCCTCACCACGGCCTTCCTAAGAGGATCCATGGCACTCTTTGATTATCCTGGTCATAGCATGCATTGCATACATGTATTTTCTTTTTCTCTTCTCTTCCAGGATATGAGCATCTTAAGGGCCTATTACCATTAAGTTCTGTGTCCCCTATGGCTTGTATGAAGAGTTTGGCCCAGAGCCAGAGTTAGGTGTTTGGATAGATGAATAGATGAACAAATATGTGGGTGGATAGATGGGTTCATTGATAAATGGATGGGTATATGGAAGGATAGATCACTGGATGGGAGGATAGGAACAAAGGAATGAAGGGAGGGAGGGAGAGAGGGAGGGAAGAAGGAAAGGAGGAAGAAAGGAAGGAAGGAAGGAAGGAAGGAAAGAAGGAAAGAAGGAAGGAAGAAAGGAAGAAAGGAGGGTAGAGGGATAAATAGTTGGGTAGGTAGGTAGATGTATTACCGGAAGGATGGATGAATAGATGGACATGTAGATGGATGAATGGATGGGTAGATGGAAAGATAGATAGACGGAAGGATGCATGGATGATGAATAGGTATAGAGATAAACAGCTGGATAGATTAGTGGGTGGATAGATGGGTGGATGGATGGATGGACAAGTGTGTGAATGGATGGCTCAAATATTTCTTTTCAGCACTGGGCTATGTTCTTGTGCATTTGACCATTTGGCTTTCACACCTTGTGACAATAAGTGTTTATTTCATTACATGAGTGTATGTGTATATAAAATTATACATATATAATTTCATTTATTTATTTATTTATTTATTTATTTACTTTTTGCCTGGAGGGAGACTTGCCTTTGCCCTCACTTGCTGTGGAGATCTGGTCTGGTCTGCCACCTGGCTTGAAATGCAGCCTATAGATTTAGACTCTTGGAAGAAGTGAGCAGAACAGAGAAAAACACTTTCTTGTACCATGCCTTCATTTTGCCCAAGACACACCTACCCGAACCATGCCGTCTTGACTCCCAGTGATGATGACATTGTTTGTGTCCCATGCTGGCCCCTCCAACACGCAGCAGCAGGTTATGGCTCCTTCAGGGCCCCAGGCAGTGGTGATGCTGGCCAGGGGTTGTCCATTGACATTCCATAGAGACAAGTGGGCTCCCGCACAGGAGACAATGGTGCCCTGCAGCACGAGAGCCGGCTTTACTCCATGCTGGGGTCACTGCCTGCCCATCTGCCACTTGCTCAGACAGAGTTTGTACACCCAATCACCCTTAACCTGCTATCTTCTGAAGACTATCCAAGGTAATCCAAGACCTTCTAAGACACCTACTTCTTCCCAGATGACTCATAGGTCTGCTGTGTTTTCACACTCTGCAAATTCCTGGCTATTTTCCTATTGCAATAATGTGTTTGGATACTGCTTTCCCTGACACAAGCTGACTGGCTCGCCCTTTGGACTCCTCCCGCAACCCTCTCCCTGACCATATACTGACTGGCATAGAAGACCCAGCTTGGAGACTGCCCCTGGCTCTGGACATGGGACCTATACCTGGCTGGCTGGCCCTCTACCCATGAAGAAAATCTGGATATCACCTGGTGGAGGGCAAGGACAGAGGTTTGAATGATTGTATATGACTCATAAAATTGGACAATATCCCTCTGAAGGGAATTTCTGAGGAAAAATGTCCCCATTGAATCTCCTATAATGGTTATGTCCAGAGTTTTCTTCTCAAGTCCTTGTCTATGTTATAGTCAATGGTGTAGTGGTCACTGTCACCGAGGTCTCATAAAACCAGCTGGAGCCATGCTTTTGAGCCTTGCCCTAACCACAAAAGGGATGTAGGCAACTCAGTGCCCCTCCATAGCCCCCTGGACTTGGCTCCGTCATGTCCTTTCCTGAACTGTTTGGTATAGAGTCTGCTTGAGGCCAAGGACCATGTTGATATATCTCTGCCCAGTACCCGGCACTGGGCCCAGCAGGCACTCAATTGGTGAACTCGGTTGGTTTCAGGACAAGTTGAAGTCAACAAGTTGTTGTCCTGATGTAAGTCTTCTCTGAGGACTGAGGACATTATTCTATATGGGTTTTATGCTCTCTCAGATCAGGGCTTTTTTCTTTCCTAATGCCACCAATTCATTCGTTCACCCACCATCCATCCATCTATCCAACTATCCATCCACTCTCTATCTGCCCATTTACCTATCCACCCACGAATTCATCCAAATATCCATCCACCCACATACCTATTCATCCATCCATCCATCTATCCACCTATCTACCTGCCACTCATCTGCCTATTCATCCTTCAATCTCCCCATCCATCTACCCATTTATCCATCTATCATCCATCCATCCATCCATCCATCCATCCATCCATCCACCCTCTATCTGCCCATGTAACATTCATCCTTGATTCAGGCCTACCTGGAGAGCACTTTTGACTAAAGTTGGTACCAGGAGCCTTCTTGATCATCTCCCCCTCCTTCTATTAACCCCTTGCCCATTCTATCCATGTGCTGGACTCCTGGGGCTTTCTGTGAGCAGATGCAGAGGCTTTGAATCCTCAGGGAACCCTGTGCCCTATGATGGAGATTCTAGCCTGGGAGAACCTCCATACTGAGATTTAGATATATATTTCTCTAACTCTCTCTCTTCTCTCTGTCTCTGTCTCTGTCTCTCACACACACACATGTTCCTGACAGGCTCATCTATGGTAGCCAGCACTGAGGGACAAGCAGAAGCACTTCCTGCCATGGAGACCAGAAGCACCTGCTGAGTTAACACTCATTTGCAGTCAGTGAGCTGAATTAGTCAGTCAAGCCCAGCAGATTTCTTACCAGAGCCAACTTCATGCTTGTGCCAGAACAGACACTTCCCACCACCCCCACCACCCTGAGGGAGAGAAATAAAAAAGGAAAAAATAAAATCTAGACCCAGATGCTGCCCATGCTGATGGCTCCACTCTGTCTGGGTAAAGAATACTCCATACTATCGGGAGCCTCTTCACATTCTTGGGTGGTCAGCCTCTCTTTGCCCCTGGGTTTTCTCTTGGGGCACTGCACCGTGCTGCCAGGCAGGCTCCCAGACATTGAGAAGGCAGGGCCTTACTGAGACGTCACTGATGGCGAGAGCAGAGATGCCTTCTCGGTGGGTAGGCAGGCGGGCCACGTGGGTGAGGTGATCCAGGTCCCACAGGATGCAGGTGCAGTCTTGGGAGCCACTCACCAGGAGACTGAAGGTGACCGATGCTGCCAGGCACGTGACAGCCTGTGTGTGTCCATACAAGGCCTGGAGACAAGAGGCAGACCCACAGCTTATGAGAGGGACTCTCAGTCCAGCTACTTGGGGAGATATCCTGTCCTCCTTTTCACTGTTGGGTCCCAGAGGAGAAAAGAGAGATTCAGGGTGATTCTGTGATTCCAAAGTCTGTGGTATGTGCGCACGTGTGTTTGTGTGTGTGTGTGTGTGCACGCGTGTGTCCATGCTGGCCTCTCAGCTCAGTTCCATCCATTTCTGGGAGTTGGGGCCCAGCCAGGGTGGATCTGCAGTCCTTTTATCAACCGAAACAGAGACCAGTAGCACCCTCTTGCTGTGTGCTCAACTGCACTTGTCTTCCATCTAGTCATAGGCAAGGACACTGATTTGCAAAGTGTGGCGTTCCAACCAGGTGCATAAGCATCATCGGGGAACGTGTTAGAAATACAAATTCTTGGGCCCTATCCAAGACCTACTGAATCAGAAACTCTGGGGCTGGGGCTCCAAAACATGGGTTTTCACAAGGCCTCCAGGAAATGTTCGTGCATGCTCAAGTTTAAGCATTACGCCAAGGGAGCCTCGGAAACAAATATGCCTCTGCCCACTAAAATGGGAAGAGGGCAGGGAAGTCAGGTCATAGTGAAAAAAACATACGACTTTTCATGTGTGATGGGTCTGGGTTCATAGCCTGTCTGGCCACGTGGCAGCAGGTGACTCAGGGCCCTGGTCTTGGCCCTCCGGTTGGCCTGCGCTGGGTCTGGCCTGGTTCATAGATGCCCGCGTATCCAAATAGGGCCAGAGCCCTTGCTCCCCTGGACGTGTGCCAGAGGGGCTGGGGTGATCTGACACCCCCAGGCCCACTGCTGCTGGCAACAGTGTGGCTTCAACATCACAACTGTCCCAGAAGCTTCCAGGTAAGCCGGATCTGAGAACTCCTGTGTGTGCCCCTGCTGGCGTCCTTTGGAATCTGCCAGAGAAGTGTGGAGGTGGCATTCTGAAACGTGATTACGCTGGCTGGTTACCTAGTGGTAAATCTCCACCCTCAGGACAGATGACTGCTCACTCATTTGGATCAATGAGGCTGAGCATCATTTTTCAAAGCTGTCACTTTGCCTGGTCACCACAATTAAAAGTTCTGCCAGGGTTTCCTGTTTGTTTCTAATAGGTCTTAATGTGGCACCAACCAGATGGTGCCGGCAAGGCTCTGGACGTGGCCCACAGAAGATGGTTTGGGTCATCTTAGGAGACTGGAAACTATCTAAATGAAGAGAAAAACAGAGGCTTTGACCGGAGCTCTGATGACTAAGTTCCGACCTCAGGGGACACGGTGATTCCAAAGCGTGTAAGCCGGGGGACCCTGCAGTCAGGGCTGGGGATTCAGAAGGAGCTCTGAGCCCAAGTGCCTACATGTGTGCTGTCCATTAATGGGGCCAAGTCTGCTGCTTTCCGAGAGGAGGCCCTGGAGAGTGAGGGGGACCAGCCGGCATGCAGGCAGTGTCCATCCACCGTGAGGCACTCAGCCACCCGCTTCGGGAAAGGCTGGGGAAATCAGCGAAAGAGGACAGCAGATTTAAATGTGTTCTCTACTGGCTCTTTTGTTTTCTCAGAATACGGTAGTCCCCCCCTTATCCATGGGGGATATGCTCCAAGACCCTCAGCAGATGCCTGAAACTGTGGACAGTACCCAACCCTATGTCTACTGTGTTTTTTTTTCCTATACATACATACCTATGAAAAAAATTAACTTATGAATTAGGCACAGTAACAGATTAATAGCAATAACTAATAATAAAGAATAGTTCTAACAATATACTGTAATAAAAGTTATGTGAGGGGCGCCTGGGTGGCTCAGATGGTTAAGCGTCTGCCTTCGGCTCAGGTCATGATCCCAGGGTCCTGGGTTCGAGCCCCACATCGGGCTCCTGGCTCAGCAGGAAGCCCGCTTCTCCCTCTCTCTCTGCCTCTCTCCCTGCTCATGCTCTCTCTCTCTCTCTCTCTCTGTATCTCTGTGTCTCAAATGAATAAATAAAATCTTTAAAAAAAAAAAAAAGTTATGTGAATGTGACCTCTCTCTCTCTCTCTCGAAATATCTTATTGGACACTGTACTCACCTTTCCTGTGATGTGATGATGTGAGTTGATGAGATGACATGAGGGGTATGACAGGCACCGTGACACAGTGTTACACCAGTACCGACCTTCTGACAATGAGCCAGAAGGAGGAGCATCTGCTTCCAGGGCGGGGTTGACCGCAGGTAACTGCGACCATGGGAAGTGAAACCAGAACAATGGGGGGGAGGGGACTACTGCAGTACCTGTCTATATGGCCAGTTAAAATAACTGCACGATGTCATCATACCTAACTAAAGTAGCAAAAAATAAATAAAATAAAAACCTCTGGAAATAACTGCTCATGCTGGACACCTGTTGTGAGATGGGCACTCTGAGTCGTCGGTGACACGGTAAAGCTATGGATAAAGCATCACATCCCTGCTTGGTAATTCCACTTCTTGAAATTTATTTTAAGGAAACAATTAATCAGAAGCAAACAGCAATCTATATAAGTTGTTTTCTGCAGCACTATTTAAAACAGTTAAAATTTGGAAGTAATGTAATTGCCTAGTTTTAGAAGAAATGGTTTATTAAACTGTGGTGCACTGACATAATAGAACAATTGAAATGTAATTTTATGGAAATGGAATAATGCGGAACAAATGAAATGTAAATTATAGAGACTGTGGAAAAGCAGAAACAATTTGATAGGCTGGGCGAAAATAGAATAAACATACCTACACAATGATCAGAATGGTATAAATATGTGTATCTGGGCATGGCAGTATGCAACAAAACTTTTATAGGGATTGGAAAGAATTATTCAACTTTGAAGTGAATTTGACATTTGTCTTTAATGTTGTCATATCTTTCAAAAATAAAACCCTCAAAAAAACTGTTTATGAAACTACTTAATGATGATTTTGTCAACAAGTGGGGGGCAGATCACTGAGCAGCTGGTGGTCTGGGGGAGCCCCAAGGCCATGTCAGCTACCATAGGTAAATGAGAAAGTGTGCTATTTGGCCTAGGAAATAAGAGCGTGTGGGATTCTGCATCCTTTCCCTCTTGATTTATAACTAGGAGAGGATGATGAATGGCATTTTTATGCTGTCAATACTGGGGCTTTTACAGTTCATCTTCATTTCTAAAAGGGACCTCAGAGCAGCTGGGGCAGCCCGCTTCCCCAACTCCCCAAGGCCAGCTCTGCAGTCAGGCTGGATCTCCGGCTATCCCCAGAGTGGTGCCTGGGAGAGGGGAAGGCTCCACAGAGTAATGCACTGTCTCTTCACTTAAGTCTGGCATTAGAACCCAGCCTCCTGACTGCAGTTCATGGAAAGGAGCAGGGAAACCCAGAACGATGTGAAAATGTGAAAAGGCAGGGCGCTCCGAGGCTGGCTTTGGAGGACCGCCTTGGAGAGTCTGGTGAAGGCAGCCCGCGCGTGGCCCACACTGCTGCCCCAGCCCGGCAGGTGCCACTGCTCCTCAGGATTCACCCGCCCCCTCAGCACTGACTTCCTTCACCTCATGTTCATGAGAGTCCACCGTGCACTGCCCATGCGCTGGGGGGTGGCTTGAAAAGCATCCAGAGGAACCCAGGATCAGTTCCGGTGAAACATGTTCAGTTTAGGAAATCTGGCCCATGGTGAGTTTTGTATGATTCGTTTGGGTTTTCGTTATCTTGGGTCTCTACGGCTAACTCTAAAGCGGACGTAAACACAAGTTGCACTTCAGAGTTGAGGAGACCTAGTGGTACTCTCAGGCAAGTTCAAGGGTGCAAAGGCAGGAAGCGTGGGCTTAGAGTTAGGTCGACCTAGATTAAAATGCAAATTCGCTCTTTCTGAGCTTCGGTCTCTCCTGTGGAAGTGGGAATGATAGTGCCTGCTTTACAAGAGGAAATGAATGCACGAGTCGTAGTAAACAGTAAGGACACTGTGCTTGTTCTCAGAGCAGCGGTGGCTCCTGAGGCGGGACCGGAATGAGGCCACTGCCCCCTGCTTTTGCTCTATTCCTGCACAACCACTCCTGTTCTGAAACAGCCTTTCCATTTCTGCCTCTAGCACCGGTCACTTAACTTCCTTGCACCGGCCTTTTTTTCAGCAGTAAAGTAAGGACGATAACAGTACGTATTTGACAGGGCTGTGGAGAAGGCAAAATGTTCGGCATAAAATGTCCCTGGCACATGGTCCAAAACGGGCTCTAGCACAAGGAAACTGGTTTCACTGGCTCTGCGGCGCAAGCAGCGTCTCTCACGGAGGCGTGGGTCTCCACGGAGGCACCTGCCCCGCGGGCTTGTCAAATCCACCGTGGCCATGAAACCGTGGCCCTCTCATGGCACAGAGCCGTGGGCTGCCCCCAGTGCCTCACTGTGTTCTCTGCCCCTAGGGAGGCAGGGCTTTCGGTGCCCAGGGAGCTGGGCCACACCAGGGTGCTGCACCCGCCCCAGGCACCGTCCCCACCGAGGCACCATACCTGCTTGAGGTGCAGGCTTCTTGGGCGGCCTTTGGCTATGCTGAGCTCCCACACACACACCACAGCGCTGGTCCCAGAGGTGATGATCACTGTGGGGGCTGGGCACACGGTACACAGACAGCGGCCCCAGGCAGCCAGGTTCTCGAACGTCATTAGGATCTAGAGGAGACAAGCGGGATGAGCCCTGGTGCCCCGGCCAGCACAGGGCTGAGGGCCAGGACAGGGTGACACAGGGACAAAGGCAGGTCTGGATACTGCTGGCTTGCCTGTGGGCCATGGGAACGGGGGGACATTCACTTGTTCGGGAGGCTGGCTCTGGTGACAAAATCCAGACAGTCCAAGCCTGTCCCCAGGGAGCTCAGACTCTAGGGAGTGGGGAGAGACAAGCAAGCAGGAAGTCATGGGGACATTGTGAAAATCCCTTGGGAGCACAGTGAGCCTCAGGAGGCCAACGACAGCCTGAGGAGGTCAGAGACAGCTTTCAGGAGGGGCTGATATCTGGGACTAGTTTCAGGCTGCCTCATGAAGTGGTAGGGAAGGCTGGGGGTGGAGAGGCAGAGCTTGGTGGGCAGGGAGTTCACGCCATGTGATCAGTGGGTGGGAATTAGGGTGGGAGGGGAGGGGGGCTAGGCAAGGAGCCTGGGAGGCTGCCAGGGCCCCAGCAAGAAGTGAGGTCACTGGATGGCCTGAGTCAAGGATGGAGTCATGGTTAGTCAAGACTAACCAGATGGTTGGCTTCTGGCACTGGCTGAATGCTCAGTGACTGTCCTCTGACTCTGAGCCATGACCAGGGCCAGAGGAACGCTGACTTCCCACCCAGGCTGAGTGAGAGTCTGAGTGGCCTCCACGTAGCCGAGTGACCAGCTGGTGGCAGAGACTGCTCTAAGGTGACGGCGTGCACCGAGAACTTGCAAGCTCCACTCCTCCGAACACAGGTTGGAGGCTTGGCCCACAAGGGCCCTGAGCCCAGCCGTATAAACCTCTCCCTCCCAGGCAGGGGGCACGGCCACGTGGAGGCAGTGGGGTGTGGTCAGCTGTGCCTGCTTTGGGCCAGCCCATCCCGAGTGCCTCTGCCCCAACAGACAGAGGCCAAGGCCCCGTGCCTGCCCTGCTCCCTGAGCCCGCCCCTGCGTCCCACGCCCACCCACCTTGTCAGAACCATAGTTCCCCAGGCAGCAGCTGAAGTCATCAAAGCCCCAGCTGAAGGTCCTGTTCCAGAGAGGAGGCAGCAGCACCTTGTTCTTCTCCACGGCCAGGATGCTCTTCTCGGTAGAGACGATGTGGCCAATGGCTCCTTTGGGCGATTCGGAGCCTAGAGAGAAAAGGTACATATCTACCCTGCAGTTAGTATGGTGGAGCTTACACGCCAAAGGACAACACCCCCTATCACTGGGCCCAGACAGGAGCCACGGCAGGTGACCCAGACTTGGCAAAGCACCAGCCTGGGCAGGGGCCGCTTGCTCGCCAAAGCACCGCACCCGAGGGCCTCACTCCAGGGGCCGTGTCAGACCCTGGTCCCGAGCTGGGCCCTCCCCTGCCTTCGCACATACATGAAGCTCGCATGTGGCCACGCAGGTCTTCAGTGTCTCTGAGGGCTGATGCCAGGGGAGGAGCGGCTGAGGCTGTCCGGGCAGCCACAGGAGCCTTGGTGGGGCTCTGCCCTTCCTGCCCCTCCTGGGCACCTTATCTAGCAGGGTGGGGTGTACCAAAGACACCATTCTTGGATTTGAAGGGAAAAAAAGGACACATCACAAAACCCCAACAAATCCCACCCTATAGTCCTTATACAACTCCAGAATGTTGCCCCATGCAGTGGGATTTCCCCAAAGCTGTGCAGCCCGCAGGTGGCAGACATCAGACTTTACACACACCGTGTCTCCAGGAAGCAGCCGGGCTGGAACTCCCACTGGGCTGTCTGCCCAGGACATGCTCTTGGCTAAGGCCCGCAGGCCCACCTGGGTGCTCGGGAGCAACAGTGACCGTGGGTACCACTGAGGGGAGGCTGTACTTCCCTCGGGAAATCTGGGACTTCCTCACTTGGCTTTGGAGGTGAGGAGGTGTGTGTGTGTGTGTATAGGAAAGAGAGAGAAAGAGAAAGAGAGAGAAAGAGAAAGAGAGAGAAAGAGAGGTGTGTGTGTGCGCGCACGTGCGCGCGCACATATATGAAAGAAAGAGAGGAATATGTGTCTTAGATAGACAGGTCAGTCTGTCAGGATCTAACAGAGGTGGTTCTGGACATTTCCAGAGCAGAGGCCTCCCCAGATTCCTTCTGTGACTAGAGATACCGCCATCTAAAGCCAGACCCCAAGACCCTGAAGGGTCTGTACCCCCGAACCTCCAAAGGAGCAATAGTCGCTGAAGGGACAACTCTGGGACAGGGCGCCAAACAAAGCAGACCAAGTAGGCACCTTTGACTGTGACCTGGGAGGGCTTCAGCGCATGCAGGTTGTAGAAGAAGGGCTGTGGGTGGCTGGGCAGGCTCCCAGGCAGGACAGCATCCTTTCCAGGTGAAGGCTTGCCCACGGTGGTCCTGGCTGGGTGGGGTTTTGTAAAGAGCTGGAGAGACAGAGGACAAACGCAGACCACACATGTCATTAGGGATGGATGGCCTGAGGCGGCGGCGTCCCCATGCAAGTCACAGCAGCACCTCTGCTCTGAGTGCTGCCTGGGCTGGGCTTGCTCCTGACTGAGATGAGCACAAACAGAACTGTCTGGTTCAACCCTCAGATATTGCAGATAAGGGGCTTGGGGCTCAGAGAGGGGCAGCTACTTTCTCCAGCTCATGGTGCGGGACTAGCAGAAATAGCCCTCCTGGCTGCCAAGCTGTCATCTTTTCCATGCTGCCTGGGACAGGATGACCTCATCGAGGAGCCCTGGTCCCTGGCAGAGCTGCGTCTCATATCATGGAGTCAGAATGACCCTCTTTCCACTCTAGATCACATGTCTCTTCTTCATTTGCTTGAGCTCTTTCTCGTATTTTTTTTTTTCCCTTTCCCTTACAAACTCTCTGCAGGCACATCCATCTGGGCATCAACACAGAATTCTTTAATAGCATCCCTTCAAACATTCCAAAGAGCACAGGCAAACCCCATTAGTGGCCTTTTTTATTTTCATTTTTCTTAGATCTCTGCTGTCAAATCGTCCCTAATGCCAAACTTTTTGCATAACCAGGCAAAACATGAAGTGCAAGGCCATGCTGCTAGCAGAATCTTGCTGCTGCCACAAAGGGCAGCTGAGGCCAGCTCTCCACCCTCCCCTCCCCAACAAGGCTGTTTTTTCCAGCCATCGGGCCCATGCTCCTCGATGGAAACATCCACTGGGTGCCACAATGGAAGGGGGAGATCTGGCCCCAGCTGGAACCAGGGGCAGAGGCAACGCTCAGCAGGCAGCTGGGGGTGGGGGGAGGGGGTTCTCATAGCAGTCTAGGCTCAGTGACAGCCCTTGATCAGATACTGGTCTACCTAGTAAAGCTGGGTGGGTGATCAATACAAACAGAGATCAGAACAGTGATTTTTAAATGAGCATTAAACAAAGAATGTCCCTCCTTTGCACAGCAGAATGACTAAAGCACCAGAGGCTAGAGGCCTGTCATAGCCTCAGCATGCACAGCCCCTTGATGGCAAGTCCATGGTCCTGAAGTATTTTAATCCTGCCTCTAGTTAGGACCACTGGAAGAATTCTAATTCTGATGATTACTTAGAAATATTTTTGTAAAAGCTAATATGCTACATCACTAAATAAAATCAGAATCTAAAACTGTGTACACTCTGTGAGCACACTGATGTGAAAGTATTTTTTGCTTGTGGACAAGGGCGGTGAGTATATCACCCAGGGCACAATTGGATGGGGGTAGCTACTATTTTGATTTAATTGCTTTATCTGGATTATTTCATTTCTTAAAGAAATGAACCATTATGCTACCCGAGCTTCTTTCCTGAAATTCTCTTTCCTAAGAAGTGCTCCCTGGCCAAACCCACATTTTGGATACATTGTCCATTCTCCAAGTCACCCTTAGGCACTTCCCACATTGCCCTCCCCTGGGAGCTGAACAAACCTGGAGCATGTCATGTAAGACCAGGTAGAAAAGATGTTACTAGATTTGCACTGTAAGATGAGCCCATCCAAGCCTCGTGGTTACATGTGGGTGAGGCTGCTGCCCAAGATGGCCCCAGAATTGGCTGGGCTTACGCACTCATTTCCCAGCATGGCTCCTGACTTCCTAGGCTGAGACCCCAGCCCATGGGGCTACGCTAGTAGCCCAGATGGCTGTCCTTAGGAAGAAAGCCTCTCCACGCTGAATTGAAGTTTGAGGGTCAACAAGGCTGGGATCAGTTAAATAAGTGCTCCTCTTGCCCACCATTCACCAGGATGTCACCATGAATATATAGCCTCATATTGCTACATGACTATCCTGATGCAGGATGGAGCCAGTGAAGCAAAAGGTCCACGTGAGACCCCAGCAACTTCACCAGGAGCCCAGGGGGCAGAACTCAGATACTCTCCCACTGCTGGTGAATGGCATAGGCTTTGGGGCCAGCCAGATGGGGCTAGAGCTCTACCTCTGGCATCTGCGAAAGTGCAACTGTGGGCAAGTTACGTATTCAGCCTCTCTGAGCCTCAGCTTCCTGATCTGTAAAAGAATAATCCCTATACCCAGAGCTTATGAGGGGATTCAATGAGGGAATCATACTAGTAACTAACATTTGTAGAGCGCCCATCACGTTTCAGGCACTTTCGAGCACTTAATGTCTCCATTCATTGGCTCTTCACAGCAACTCTGAAGTATAGACACACATATAGACAATTAAATCCTATGGATTTACTGTAGTGTCTGTCACATGTATCACAGGGGAATGTAGTCCTCATCATTATCATTAATGATGTCGTCATCTTCATCAACATCAGATGGAAACAGAGGGGTAAGCCCTGATGTTGAGGGGTGTAGGAAGACCATTTCCCCCTCCCCAGTCCTCTCTTGTTCCTATCCAGGAGAAAATGTCCTCACTCTCACTCCCAAGCTCACAGTGCACACACTCTTTTGAGAAAGCAAGACCAAGAACGTGGATGCTGTACCTGTTTGGGCACCTGTCCAAAGTTGCTGACAAACCCCAGGATGGTGCTCCTGATCAAGGGGTCACTGATGCTGCTGAGGTCCATTTTGTCACCGTAGAAGTAGGGGTGGAAGGTATTAACAGCTTCCACCGCAGCTGATCCCTGCTGCTTGTACCCAAAAATGAGGTCTATCCAGTGGTGGAGGTTGGCACTGACAAAGTCACTTTCCAGAGCCTGGAACCAAAACCCAAAGAGCATGAAAAATGAAGGCCTCTCTTGGACTTGTGAGCCTTCCGCACAGATCACGAGGGGGCACATGCCTCAGGATGCTGGCTCTGCACAGGAAAGATGTGACATCTCACTGAGCTTGATGAGCACTAAGTGGGCAGACATGTGGGCCATCCAATGACCATCCAGTTCCTGCCTCCAGCTAGAGGGAAAAGAGATCTGACTGCTCCCATAACCCTAACTCATTCACTCCACGCTATAACCATGAGTTCAGAATATCTATGTCTTGCAGTGATATCTAAACAGAAGGCTGAAAATAAAGTCTTGGGGTCCTGTTGAGATTGATATAAGAAAAAAGGAGAGCTGGTTCTGACCAGAGATGTCAGGAGGTTGAGACTAAGTGTAGCAGTTAGGAGAACACGCTCTGTAGCAGGCTAGACCCCAGCCCTGCCATGGACATTTCTTAACATCTCTGTTCCTCAGTGCCTTCATCTTCTTCATCTATGAAATGGGGACAGTAATTGTACCTTCTTTGTGGAATTATGTGAGGTTTGGTTTGTGTCCATGCCTGGTGCACAGTGAGCTCCACGTAACGTTAGCTACAATGATTACACTGTGCACCTACTAGGTGCCAGGCACTGGCTTGGAGTTTGATGTGTATCGTTTCTTCCCATCCTTACCATTTCTGTTTCCTTATTATCACTCACCTCTTTTATTTCTTCATGTGGACTTGAGTTACTGTCCTTTATTTTAGCATGGAGAACTCCCTTTAGTGTTTTTTATAGGGCAGGTCTGCTAATGATAAATTGTTTTAGTTTTATATGTCTGGGAATATCTTAATTTCTTCCTTATTGAAGAATAGTTTTGCTGGCTATAAAATTATTGGCTTATAGTCTTTCAGCACTTTGAATATTTCATACCACTGCCTTCTTACCTCTATGGTTTCTTGTTTTTAAAGAAGATTATTTATTTGAGAGAGAGAGAGCATGAGCAAGAGAGCACAGGGTGGGGGTGGAGGGACAGAGGGAGAGGTTTAAGCAGACTCCCCACTGAGGAGGAAGCCTGGCACAGGGCTCGATCCCAGGACCCTGGGATCATGACCTGAGCCAAAGGCAGATGCCCAACCAACTGAGCCACCCAGGTGCCCCACCTCTATGGTTTCTAATGAAATATTAACTATTAATCTTATTGAAGATAGCTTGTAAGTGATGAGTTGCTTTTGTTGCTTTCAAGATTCTTCCTTTGACTTTCCTTTTTGACAATTTATAATGTGTCTAAGTATAAATCTCTTTGAGTTTATCCTACTTGGGATTTATTGAGTATCTTGGATGTATAAATTAATGCTTGGCATCAAAATTGGGATGTTTTTGAACATTATTTCTTCAAATATTCTTTCTGCCCCATTCTCTCTTTTCTTTCTGGTACTTCCAATTTGTGTATGTTGGTACATTTGATGGTGTTCTACAGGTGCCTAGGTTCTGTTCATTTTTCTTCACTCATTTCTTCCTGTTTCTCAGACTGGATAATCTCAATTGACCTATCTTCCAAGTTTGTTGATTCTTCCACCTGCTATTGATCCCTTCTAGTGAATTTTTCATCTCAGTTACTGTACTTCTTAGCTCCACAATTTCTATTTGGTTCCTTTGCACAATTTCTATCTCTTTATTTATATTTTCTCATTGTTATACTCTCCTTTAGGTCTTCAAACATTGTTTTATTTAATGCTTTGAATATATTTACAATAACTGATTTAAAGTCTTTGTCTAGTAAGTCCAAAGTTTAGGCTTCCTTAGAGATATTTTTATTGACTGCTTTTTTCCCTCTGTATGAGCCATACTTTTTTTTTCTTTACATGTCTCATAATTTTTGTGGAAAACTGGACATTTTAGATAATATGATCTGTCAACTCTGGAGATCAGATTTCCCCTCCCCAGGGTTTGTTGTTGTTACTGTTTGTTATTGTTGTTTGTTTGTTTAGTGACTTTTCTGAACTAGTTCTATAAAGTCTATATTTTTTGTTGTATGTGGCCACTAAAACCTCTTCTCTGTTAGCTTAATGGTCATCTTATGATTGGATGAAGATTTCTTTAAATGCCTAGAACCAGCTAGTATTCCAGTCTTTGCCTAGGGAGGGGCTTTGTGTGCATATTAGGGCATAGCTTTAGCATTCAGCCAGGCAGAAGCTGCCTTAAAAACTCTGAGTTTACCTCATATCCTGCTTGCACAGAGCCTCAATTTCAGCCAGAAGTGAAGCTTAGGACCTTAGGAGCATGAACACAGCCTTGTGCATGAAAGCAGCCCTACAGATGTGTGTGTCCTTCTAGATTTCAGGGATTTTTAAAAAATTTTTTTTATTATGTTATGTATAGTCTCCATACAGTACATCATTAGTTTTTGATGTAGTGTTCCATGATGCATATAACACCCAGCGCTCCATGCAATACATGCCCTCCTTAATATCCTTCACCGGGCTAACCCATCCCCTGACCCCCCTCCCCTCCAAAACCCTCAGTTTGTTTCTCAGAGTCCACAGTCTCTCATGGTTCGTCTCTACCTCTGATTTCCCCCCCTTCATTTTTCCCTTCCTTCTCCTAATGTCCTCCATGCTATTCCTTATGTTCCACATATGAGTGAAACCATATGATAATTACTTTCTCTGCTTGACTTATTTCACTTAGCATAATCTCCTCCAGTCCCATCCATGTTGATGTAAAAGTTGGGTATTCATCCTTTCTGATGACTGAGTAATATTCCATAGTATATATGGACCACATCTTCTTTATCCATTCGTCTGTTGAAGGGCATTTTGGCTCTTTCCACAGTTTGGCTATTGCGGACATTGTTGTCATGAACATTGGGGTGCATATGGCCCTTCTTTTCACTACATCTGTGTCTTTGTGGTAAATACCCAGTAGTGCAATTGCTGGGTCATAGGGTAGTTCTATTTTTAATTTTTTGAGGAAACTCCACACTATTTTCCAAAGTGGTTGTACCAACTTGCATTCCTACCAATAGTGTAAGAGAGTTCCCCTTTCTCCACAACCTCTCCAACATTTGTTGGATATTTTCAAGTTGTTTCAAGGCCTCCTAATAAGTAGCTCATTCCCTAGTTTTTCCATTTAAGCTGTTTGGTTAGTCTATTGTTTGTCCAATTATATCCACTGCCTCTGGCAGCCACAGTGTTGAACAATTGTCTCTGGTTTATTTTTTCACAAATGTCACCAAAGGAAAGGCTTTTGTACTACGCAGGCTTTGAGATCAAATAAAGACGGCCTTGCTGGTGGGGACTTTCAGGGAACCACTAACAGGTCAAATAATGACAGTTCTCTGGATATGGGACTTTGAAGGAGCTCCAACCCCATTCTTCTCCCTCCAATGACTGCTAGGTTGTTGGTTTCCACTGTTATTGTGGGCTGTTGGTTTTCAAAGCTACTATGGAGTTGAATAGGAGAAATGAGTATAGTGTAAGTTAAAACACCACAAAATTTGCTGTCTTTACAAAGATTCAGCCATTTTTCTCAAAAGAATACTCCCCTGATTTTACCAAGCCTCTGTTTAATTTCCTGAGTTCTGAAGAGTTTTTTTATGACAATCTTTGCCATTATTCTTATTACTTTTATGGAGTAGAAGATTTTCAGAGATTCCTACTCTAATAATTTTCACTGACATTGATCATTAACATCCGAACCCACTCCAACCTAATCTTTACTCCACCAAAAGAGGTCTCCCCACTGTTGTCACCACCCAGTTCCCCTTGGTCACACCTCTAACCTATATCTGATGGCATTGAATTTCTCTCCTTCATAGCACTTTGTGCAGTTATAATTTCCTTGTTATTTGCATGGTTATTTCATCAAGCTGCCTCCCCGCTAGACCACTGGCATCTGCAGACCTGTAGAGTGAATCTGCTCACTCAGCCCAGGCTAAGAACTTTTCTGAGAGCACCTTGGCAGAGAGCTGCTGCCACCTGAAGGTTAAGTTCATCTCTGGTCCAACTACTCAAGACCAGTGGGTTGTGGGAGAGATGCCTACCATTACTACATTTCCAGAGGCAAGGATAAACCAGGGAAGAATTTTCTCCTTGCCAAGGGAGAAGGCAGAAGAAAGAATACAGCTTTGTTTTTACTAGTCAGGCCCACCCCAGATTTTTTTCTTTTTAGGTACAATATACATATAATAAATTTCACCCTTTTTAAATGTATAGTTCAGTGTGTTCTGACAAAGGCATGCGATCATGTAACCACCACCATAACCGAGATATAGGACATTTACATCAACTCAAAATGTTCTCTTGTACTCCTTTCCCATCACCCCTACTCCAGACTTTAGTAACTACTGATCTGCCTTCTGTCCCCATAAGTTTATCTTTTCCAGAATGTCACATAAATAGAATCCCATAGTATGTAGCTTTGAGTTTTGGTTTCTTTTGCTTAGGATAATGCTTTTGAGATTAATTTGTGTTGCTCCATGTATCAGTAATCTATTTCTTTTTATTGCTAAGTAGTATTCCATTGTGTGGCTAAATCATTTGTTTATCCATTACCAGTTGCTGGATATTTGGGTTGTTTTCAGTTTTCGATAAGTATCAATAAAACTGATGCATATTTTTGTGCATGCTTTTCCATGGACATGTCTTTATTTCTCTTGGGTCAATATATACAAGTGGAATTGCTGGGTGATAAGGCAAATGCGTCTTCAACTTTATAAGAAACTACTAATTTTTTTCCAAAGCGGCTTTTCCATTTTATTTTCCTACAAACAATGTGTAATGAATTCTGATTCTCCCTATTCTTGCTTACTCTTGGTTTTGTCAATATTTAAAATTATAGCCACTCTTGTAAGTATGTAATGTCATCTCCTATGGTTTTAATTTATGTTTCCCTGATGACTAATGATGTTGCATGTATTTTCGTGGTTTATGCTAATGCATGTATTTGATCTAGGATATGTGTCCCAAAATAGCCTCTCCCACATCAACCTCTCTGGTTAAGAAGCCAAGTATTCCCCAGTCCTGGCAAACCCTTTGGCCAGTAGGAGCCCTTTAGGGCCTCCAGCCCCTCTCTGAGCTATACTGAGCAGTATGGTCCAGGCATAGCCCTGCCTACAGGGCCAGCAAAAGTCACTGACTTGACCTCCAGGGCATCCAAAAAAAAGTCTGAATTTGCTTCCCCCAGTGATTCCCACAACAAACTGGCACAAGGGCAAAGTCTAATGGAACTCTTGAAAGAGCCCAGAACACAAACTTTTTCCTGTTAACCTGGAGCATGGAGCCTAGCACCTTCTCTGGGCTCTCTAGACATAAGAGCCTCAGAAATGCTTGTCACTAGCCCTCTGCTTGCACAGAAAGCCTCCATGGAGATTAAGAAAATACTGTGGTCTTCATTCAGGATGCCAGGGCCTCTGACGTGACCCTGGTCAACTCACCTGTCTGTGCAGGCTGATGAATTTCCGAGGGTCCCCATCAGCCCAGGGAGGGAGTTGCACGTCTCCCAGTGCTGTCCCATCCTGCATGCAGCCTGAGTGGGGTGAGAAACAGCAGAGCTTTGGGTAAATGAGAGCCCAAACTGGGCTAGGAACCAGGGGGAATACACATTGTGCTATCTAGGACTTCTGATTCCAGGCAGATCAGGCTAAGAGCTATGTCCTGCACAGGCTTCACTACTTCCTGCTTCTTCTGTCTGGTGTGTCCTTCCACACATCTGCCTGGAATATTCCTTTGACTCTCCACGAGGCCCTCCTTGCTTCCCAGGCAGGTTTGTGCTTGATTCACAAGTCCTATAAAATGGCAGTGATGTGGTCATTGTTGTCTTCCTCCCTACTATTCTGTGCCTTTTCATCTGGGTGCTTTCTATCCAGCGCTAGAGCACTAAGGAGATAATCACACTAACAGTAAAAGCTATCGTATTTTGAGCACCTAACTCTATGCCAGGGCACTATGCTAGGTGCTTGGCACACATCGTCTTATTGAATCTTCATTTAACTCTATAATTTATGCATTTTCTCTCCATTTTTAAAGTGAGGGCAGCAAGGTTTTTAGAGGCAGCTTCCCCAGACATTAGAAAGAGTCTGGGTCCAAGCCCAAGTCTCTCTCCTACCCATTAGCTGCACAACCTTGGGCATATTGCTTAATCTCTTTGGGATTCACTTTTCCTACCTGTTACCCACACCCACCCCCTCAGAGGCTGGAGAAGGATTAAAAGAGAAATACGCATACTGTGCTTAGAAAAACTCCAGGCATATGATGGTTGCCCAATAAACATCAGTTATGGTCTTGCTTAAACCCTCCAGGGCCTTCATGGTGCAACTAGAATAAAACCTTCCCCCCCCTCTCTGCCTACAGGTCTGTGCCTGATATGGCTCTTCTTACTAGCCAGTCTCAGCTCACCTGTCACCAACTCAGGTGGTCCTTCCTGGAGACCAGAATAACACAGGGCCCTGTGAATCACTCTTGAACCATTTTCCTACCTTCTTTCTTCATAACAATTCTCAGCATCAGACAGTATTTCACTTATATAAATATGTTTATATTTTCTCTCCCCTTCCTCCCTCCCTGTACAGAATGCACACACCTTCAGCACAGTTGGTTGCAGGAGGCCCAACTAAATCCCTAATGCCTAAAAAAGTTCCTGCATGCCCCTGTGTGCTGTTTGGAGGAAGAAGGAGGGCCCCGAGGAAGGGGAGCTCTGGGGCACAGGTGTGTGCTGATGACAGTTCATGAGTGCCCTCCACAGAGTGAGTGATCCCCTCCCCCTTCCTCTGGGGGGAAAGTGGCCCACACCCTGCCTCGGGCTCTGACCACATAGCCCCTTCCACAAGTCACCCTGACACTTGCAGCGAGGCTCCCAAGGTCCACACACAGCCACCAGGGGACCTGCTTACAGGGGCCTCCTGAAATTGTTGTTCCTCTTGTAAACCAGTGAGAAGGCAGAGTTCATCCTGAAGCACAGGAAAGAGGAAGGACCACCAGCATCCCCACACAACCACCCTTAGATGCCATGCAGCAAGCAGTCTCTCCCAGGAGACCCAGAGAGTCCAGGTTAACCCATTTGTGGGCCATGGAGGAAAAGGAGGCCCCAGAGGGATCGGGGTTTGCCCCTGGTCCCGCAGCAGGGCAGTGCCAGACCTGGTTAATAGCAGGGCTTCTCACCGCAGATTGAGGCCTGGGGACCCTCATAGGACGGGTGGGACTGTGGCTCAGAGCCATCCTGGCAGCCCGGGGCCTAGGGTCCTTCCTTGGCTCCCACCTCGACATTGAGTGCCGCCATCAAGGGGAGACCTCACAACAACCACGCTGGTTTGGTGAAGGGCCTGTTCACTTAGTTGCCCAGGAAAGGTACTGATAACATTAGTCATTACCCGAGCTTTGGGGGAGTGACCCCTGCCCTGCCTAGCCCACCCCGGCCGCACCCCGGCCTCCACTCACCGAACTCCACGGCATTGCAGTTGATGAGAAACTCAGGCAGGTAGAAGAACTCCGGAGTCAGCTCCCTGACGTCACTCATGTTCTCTCTGGAGGCCGACTCCCACGTGTTCTTCACACTGTGGAACATTCTGTCTGCCACATCAAAGCTTCCGCCCTGTGAGGAAAAGGAGCCAATGTGATCATCTGTGTGTGGTGAGAAAGATGCGCAGGCACCACCTGGGTGGGCCTCTCTTTGTCCACGGCCCCTGAGACGTGGGTTTCCACCATCCATTTACTCCCACATACGTTCGTTCTCCGCTCTGTGCATGCGTGCCATGGTTTCTTCGTGCCTCTGGTCACTCAACCATTCTGTGGACCCTTGCACTGATTATCCCACAGAGGATACATGATGAACTGTTTAGTCTCCATTTTAGAAATCCAGGCTCAGATTAGAGACAGGAAAAGCAGAGTCATTCATCTGACCATTCCCCACATTTGCTAAGGGCCCACTCTGAATCAGGCACAGACAGGATACAAAGAACCCGCTACAGGACAGAGAGCAGGTCAGCCATTCCATGTGGGATCGGGGCAAGTTTCTTGGAGAAGTGGACCCTGGTGAGTTTGCAAGCCTAGTGACAGAGAAGACCGCAGAGTGTTCTGAGCAGAGGCAAGGCCAAGGCCAGGAACAGAAGCAGAAGCAAGCGGGCTAGGTCAGGGCCCTGCGACATCTAACAAGAGAGAACAGGTATGAGGATGAACAGCTGGAGGTACACCAGCCTCCCAGAGACAGGAAGCTGGCCCATGAAGATAAGATGTCTGTCCACTCTCCATGGCCAGCCCTGGTTCCAAGGCCCATTTCCACAGGTGGCCTGATGCATCTCAAGCTTGGCAGCTAGGATTGGACCAGGTAAGACTTAAAACAAATTCTTTCCTTGGATTCTCTGCTCCTCTCAACTGATCATCAAATCTCTTTAGTTGGTGTTACCCTATTTATCAGGTGGCCTTGGGGGCTGGGAGGAGGAAGAAAGGTCTGGTTCGAAGAATGAGGATGCTGGGGGCAGAGGGACTTCAGGAAAGAGGTTCTAAAGCGGGCTTTGGGTCTGCGTAAGTTTAGGGACACCCCAAAAACACCTGCCTGGGATTGGATACTTCACTTGTCCCCATCAAAGCTGGGCCTTTGTTCACTCAGAACTTGTCCTCCTTTTGCCAACTTCTGCAGAGTTCCTGTGGCCCGAGAACAAATGGGTAGCGCCCTCCTCTTCTCGGGGACTGAGGTTTCCCATCAGCATTTACCTAAGGAAGCTTTGGGGCAGCTGCAGGAGTGGATGAAGGGTAAAGAAGGGCCACAGCCTCCCCTTGGCAAGTCTGCCCCATGGTAGGCACTCTATACAGAGATGTTGGCTCTTTATTCTCACAGCAGGGGTGTCAGGAAGGAATTGTACTTCCATTTTGCAGACCAGAAAACTGAAGCTCCTCAAAGTGTACTGGTTTTCCCAAAGCTATCAAAGCAATCAATGGCAAAACTGGGTCAATCCCATGGATGCCCCTCCAAAGTATGCATTCTTTGCCCTTGTGTCAGTTTATTGGGGGAATCCCTGGGCCTGGGGCAAACGTGATCTCCTACGTGTGGGGCAAGGGGTCTCAGCTCTTTCTGCGAAGGGAGAATCTGCCACACTCCTGAGGCAGGCTACATTTGGGCATCTTGGTGGGCCGGTCAGTTTTCTGAGTCAGACTTGAGGATCCAGGGAGGCCCGTGGGTCATTCTCTGCACATGGATAGGGACACTGAGAAAGCCAGTTGCCCCTGGAGTTGCAACAGAACACCCTACCTGGGCAGCTTAAGGATGTGGCTTTCCTCCAAGGTCGCTTTGCTCTTGGGGTGAAATTAGGGGATGATGCCCACCATCAGATTCAAATTGAAATGGAAACAAAATAGGGGGAGAGTGTTTTTAAATAAATCTGCACCTAACAAGTGGCTCATTGAAACATACTAAGAGCTTTGCATATTTAATCTGCAGCCCGAGCCTTACATCGGCAGGAGATTGATGCCTTCTCGTCCTCCCGGACTCCTTTTGCAGCTTTTATGAATGCTGATGGTAATCTCCTGAGAAACAATATAATTTGGTAATAAAAAGATTACCTGTATTAAATAAAAATAATATATACATAGGAAATATTGTTAGTGCTACAAATCTGGTTAAAGATATTACCACAAAGAAAAATGTTATTTTTTTCACAGCTGTCTAATGCATTTTAGCAAAAGTAATATCTTTAAAACTAAAGCCTGTATTATTTATAAAGGAAGCAATAACTGATTTTCCTATTTCCTATATTAATAAATGTATTTGCATACATTTGTTTCAAAATTAATGGGTTTTCTCACCTCTGCAATACAAAAGAAACGCCAAATTCCCTAGAAGAAAAAGTGGAGCTACTTTGTTGCTTGTACTGTAAGCCTGTGGATGGACACAGACTCTGGGGGCCGCCAGCAGTGAGTCTCCACCAGGACTCGATTCTCAGGAAAGGAAGGAAGGAGAAAAGGAAGAGAAGATAGAGAAAAGGAAGGGAGAAAAGGAGCGAGGCAGGGAGGCACAATGAAGGTCTGCAGAGCGCCACCATAAGGAAAGTCCAAAACAAAATAAAATAAAACCACAACAAAATTAAGTCTAGAGACTGGATGTAAACCAGATGATCAGAGAGAATTATGGAGCCAAGATTTGCTCCTAAATCTATTCTGCAGATATCCTTGAGTATCAAGAACAATGAATCCTACCTGTATCCAACATGCTGAAAAAAATAATAGTGATATTATCATTATCAACGAAGGAACAACCTCTCGTTGGCAGAAAACTTTTCCCATGTGATGTTAAAAGGCTAGAAGACAAAGCAGCCAAGGCTGGAGTTTTCCGAGGCAAAAGGTACAGGCTTTGGATTTTATGTCCAACTGATATCACTCCTTCATGAAGAAGCCAGAAAGATATTCTGAATATTTAAGGGCTCAGAAATAATATAACCCTAAGTATCCTCCCTCAGTTCAAACACTTCCTAGAGGTGCAAAATTTTGCAAAGAGTTGAATCAAAATTAAAAGCAAAATAATGGGGCGAGAAATGGCCAGTAAGGACTTCTGTTGGACATTGGCAGGAGTTCAAATCAGAAGAAAGTCCGTGATCGTGGTACATCTATTAAAACTGGAAATGGTCTTGAAAGGAGTGTTCTGTGTCAAAGGCACTACTCCTGCGTGCACCTGTATCCTTGGGTAAGCATTTCAAGAGCGACATTTTTTTTTTTATTTTTATTTTTTTATTTTTTTTATTCTTATGTTAATCCCCATACATTACATCATTAGTTTTAGATGAAGTGTTCCATGATTCATTGTTTGTGCATAACACCCAGTGCTCCATGCAGAACGTGCCCTCCTCACTACCCAACACCAGGCTAACCCATCCTCCCACTCCCCTCCCCTCTAGAACCCTGTTTGTTTTTCAGAGTCCATCGTCTCTCATGGTTCATCTACCCCTCCGATTTCCCCTGCTTCATTTCAAGAGCGACATTCTTAAACCCCTCTCCAGTACGGGCAGGGAAACTATCTTAAAAAAAAACCACTCAATTCTCGACCAAGACCCGCAGGGAGTACAGCAGCTACATGTGCTCAAGGACACTTAAACACAGAGATTGGTACGCTACGTGCTAGAAAGTCTGTTCTTCCTTTCCCGTGGGACTGACCCGAGTCAACCCACCGCCACATCCAGGTAATGGGATTGGTTTTATGAGGAGGCTGACAACCCATTGTCCTGGCAGATGTTCTTTCTGGTGATTTACAAGTATCCCATGTAACCAATCCACTTACAGGACCGTGTGTGCACATCAGTTGGTCTAAGCTGCTGCCCTCTGTCCTTCAAAGAGGGCACCCCAGCTGGGCAACCAGGCGGACCTGCACGGGAGTTTCCGCTCTCCGGGCAGTGTGAACGCCAGGGAGTTTCTTAAAGTCTTAATGTCTCTCACACTCTCCTCTGCTGGGGGTGTGCCAACATGTGTGAGCACGTGAGTGTGAGTGTGCGTGTGTGCGTGAGGTACCTCTGGCAGTGCCAGGCGGGCAGGAAGAGGTGTTCCAAGAGCCCCGCCCCGAAGCCTCTTTCCTTGGCAGACTGGGAACAGAGGAGCTCAGTTGGGGGCCCCAACCTCAGTGTGCATGGGGAAGGCAACCAGGGGCTCCGAAGAAGAAAAAGAAAATTTAAAGGTTACTGGAAGCAGAAGGTGGGGTCTGGGGGGAAGTGAGGAGGGGTGGGGTCCTGGGACAGGGGCTGGAGGAAAAGAGCAAGCCCATCATCTAGGCAATTTTGAGACCCCACCACCACCAAAGAAATAAAGGGGCCAACGTGTGCAGTTGAGAAAGAGCTGGGCTCGGCCCTTGGCAGGTTTCTTCAGAAAAGTGCCGGGCTCTAACACCCCACTTGGTAAGCTGAGCTGTCGGTCCAACAGAGAATTTGGGAAGCCTGTGTACCAGCTGGGCTGCCTTGTCAGTCTTGCTCTCCGTGGAGGGTGGGCTGACCCCCAAGTAGCCATTAGGTTTCCTTCCTGGAGGATGTGGACATTTACTCAATAGACAAAACCCACAAAGGTTTTGAAAAGCCTGCTGCCTACTCTTATGGGGAGGAGGGTGGACATATATGGAGCATTTAGAAACCAGCCAAAGGGCTCCCATGCTGTAGCTCACCTCGTCTTTACCACCTACTGAGGCAGGGGTTATTTTATTTTATTTATTTTTAAAGATTTTATTTATTTATTCAACAGATAGAGACACAGCGAGAGAGGGAACACAAGCAGAGGGAGCGAGAGAGGGAGAAGCAGGCCCCCCATGGAGCAGGGAGCCCGATGCGGGGCTCGATCCCAGGACCCCGGGATCATGACCTGAGCTGAAGGCAGACGCTTAATGACTGAGCCACTCAGGCACCCCGGCAAGGGTTATTTTAAAGGAGGAGGAACAGAGGCCCGGTTATTCAACACTACCAATTAGAAAGTTCTAGAGCCAGGACTTTGTCCCAGGTCTGCCTGTCTCTATTACATGAGCCTTTTTGAATGCTCCTTGTTGAGTCAGCATAATGCTAATTGTGCCTTTGCTTTGGACACAGCTCCAGCCGGACCCATGGCCTGGCACCCGTGGAGCTCCCACATGGACCGCTCGGGCGGTTCTCAGTTCTCTCTGCAGTTAGCATCTGTCTTACACGAAAACCAGCCATCTCGCCTTAGGTGGTTCAGAAAACCCTTCCCCACTGCTGGTAACAGCCGCCGTCACACGGGCTGTGACTTAATTAACACAGCACTTTATTTCAGGTTCTTATTAAATGTAACAGCAGCTGCAGCAGCACTGCTAATGTGCCCTCGCTGGGGCGCTGCCGCCTGGCTCTGCCCTGCCCAGGCGAGTCTGGTCGCCGGCCTCCCGGCCACTGCTGCTCTTGCCGGGGCCAGGACAGGTTGCTCTCAGGCCCCGGCTCCAGGTGGGCGAGATGCCCGAGAGTGAGGCATGCCGGGAGCCAAGCCTCTGGGGGGGCTGCGGTCTCACACCTCCACGGGGCGGGGATAACAGCGCACGACCGGCTTGTGTCTCATCCCACGACTTGTGCGTGTCACCTGCTCGGCTCACACTGCCCCTACGCCGGGTCTTCTGGATTGTGAGAGTCTATCATCGTAATACCAGGTTTGAGGCAGAAGATCAAACATGGCAACCATAGAGGAATGCAACGATTCCGAGAGCAGCCCGAAGTTAGTAAGATGCAAAAGTGAAGGGACCACAGCACACCTTCCACCCAGGGATCAGAATGTGCTGCATGGCACTTCTAGGCCGTGTATGAGAGCCCCTCCTCCTATCCACATCCCACTCAGGGGGCAGGCCACATTGCCCAAGGAACGCCGCGTCTGCCTCTCGACAGTGCACCGGGCCACACCGGGTACAGCGCATAGACACACGGCTCTCCGCGCCAAAGGCGATTCCTCCCGCCGAGCCATCAAACGAGCAAGCAGGTCACTCTGGCTCATTCACACTCATAGGCAAGAGGCAGAGCTTACTTCATGCAGAATGGGGAAGCATGCCTTTGTCATGCTGACTCCTGCATGCACACCCGGCTCTGGAAACCTGACATTCTCAGTTCCCTGCTCTCCAGATAAATAAAATAAGAAGGGCTCATGCCTGGATTCTGCACCTTCTCCACCTTTCTTACTCTTCCCTACCCCATGGTCCATGCTGGGGAATGGAAGTCTAGTCTATCGAGAATGTGGTGAGGCTCCTTTCCTTCTCACCACACAGGGGTGAAGCAAAGGTCTCTTAAGAAATGAGCCTGCCCCCGGAAACAAACTGAGGGTTGCTGGAGTGGGGGGTGGGGGGGAGGGATGGGGTGACTGGGTGATAGACACTGGGGAGAGTATGTGCTCTGGTAAGCGCTGTGAATTGTGCAAGACTGTTGAATCTCAGCTCTGTACCTCTGAAACAAATAATGCAATATATGTTAAGAAAAAAAAAGAAGAGAAGAAGAAGGCAGCAGGAGGGGAAGAATGAAGCAGGGGAAATCGGAGGGGTAGACGAACCATGAGAGACGATGGACTCTGAAAAACAAACTGTGGGTTCTGGGGTGGAGGGGGGTGGGAGGATGGGTTGGCCTGGTGGTGGGTATTGAGGAGGGCACGTTCTGCATGGAGCACTGGGTGTTATGCACAAACAATGAATCATGGAACACTACATCTAAAACTAATGATGTAATGTATGGGGATTAACATAAGAATAAAAAAAAAAAAAAAAAGAAATGAGCCTGCCCCCTAGGAGACAGGGTGGGACAGAAGAAAGAGCCTGACTTCAGGAAGATGCCAGAACATTCCTAAGGAAGTCTTTGAAGGCCCCAGGACTCCCACAGGAAAGCCAGGTGCATTTCCCCCCAGATGTAGCCTTTTACCCATTCCCTTGGGAGCTAAAATTCATCTTTTATTCTAAGGAAACAGCAGAACACTGTGGGGTTTTCTTACGACACACTAAAAGAGTCAGTAAAAGTCACACATGGAGAGGCCAAATGATTTCGACACAGATGGGCCAACAGCCACAGATAGCTCGAACCAGGAAAACCTGGGAATCACATCAGACTTCAACATGGGAGTCAAAGGGCTGGAGCTAATGTGACTACATGTGTGCTACCCAAAAGCAGATAAAATTGGTTCTGACCACCTTGCACTGGTTTAGACCATCTCAAACCAGTTTGGCGTGGTCATCCACGGATCAAACTAGCTAAAAAGCAAGCTCAAACTAGGTGTGACCGACTTCAGAGTGGCCTTAACCCAGTATCTCTGGGGGTTTGCAGCACACCTGTTTCATCTGGCTCATGCCGTCCTGGAATGCTTCTCTGCAGTCCAGACTGTCTTGAATTAGCTTAGCCCAGAGCAGACCAGCTTGGACAAGTTCAGGCTTGCTCAGATTCTATCTGGCTGATTGCAGGGAAAAGAAGTGAAGTAATAATGAGTGATCACCTATGCAGTGTCAGGCCCTGAGCTAGGGGCTTTACCCACATTTCCTCATTTAATCTCAACAGCTCAGGGAGCTGCGCATATTTAACCCTCATTTCCAGAGGTAAAATCACTTGCAGAAGATTCTCTATCTGTCAAGTAGCATAAATGTCACAGCTGATGCCGTTTCAAGTTCACTCTGCCTCCTGCCCATGTGAGAGGACCCTTAGTAACAGGCAGAGATGGGGCTTTAGAGCATTAGACTGAAGGGACAAAAGAAAGCTTTTAAAGCACCCAGAACTGCCTGGAGGGAATGCCGTAGCGGAACGCATCACCATCATCATCGACAGTGATCACGGCTTCTTGTGGATTAATATGAGCAACATCTGGATGGGATTCCTGGCACGGGCTATAGCTCTGGGACCGTTTGTTCTCAAACCAAACTTACTTAAAATGCTTGTTGCCGAGAAAGGCTCAGGGGAAACACACTTATTATTTTTGAGTGAATTTCCAGGGAGAGGAGGTTATACAATGTCTAGACAATCCCTGCCTTTAAGGAGAGAGAACACTGTGCCAAGACACAGAAGACAGGACGGATTTTGTTCCTAATTGGAGAAATCACCTTGACTTTGCCTACCCGTTCCCACCTAGGGCTCAGGAGTTGGATTTAGTGCTGATGCGGCCTTTGGTCTCTCAGGTCCAAGGTCATCTGACCACAAAGAGTGGCCTTTTGGTGAGGTCAGACTAAAACCCCACAATTCCTGGAACACTCGCACTTTCTCTTTGATGAACTTCACTATCGGAGTAAGTCTGTGCATATTCGTGGCCTGTTGCCCACCATGGCTCATGCCTTCCTCTTCGTAGGACACTTGCAAGGCCTGGAGCAGGTCAGGCCCTACCCTTGGGCTGGGTGCTGCATTCACTTGGGGGCTGACTGAGCCAGCTGGCTGCAGCTGGGCTACCCGGTGGCTCTCCCCAGTCAAAAGCTGTGCCCCTGGGACAACCTGGGAAGCAGGATCCCAGTGATAAGGTCAGAAAGAAAAGAGAGAAAATAAACTTCTTGGCTGCCTGCAAAGGACTCTATCCCAGCAATCCCACGTGCCTTGGACAGTTCCACACACTCAGAGCCAGACTTGCTTACTTCACACAGTGTAGGGCTGAGGTAAAACAGAAGAGGGCCCAGCTATATTTGAATTTCAGATAGGAAATTTTTTAGGATAAAAAATTCACTGTTTATCTGAAATTCAAATTTACCTAGGCATCCTGTTTTTACTTGTGAAATCTTGCAACCCTAAGCTGGCATAATGAATGGTCTCTTGGTTTATGGGTGGCTAAGTTGGTTAGTTTCTTTCTCTGGTTCAGCTATTCATTATTCAAATACTTCATCCTTTTAAGCCTTTCAACTTGTACTTAGCATGGCTGTCTGCATTCTGTAGTTACAAGTGGTACTCTTTCACTCTTCCTTCTTTGTGCTTATTTTTCTAATTTCTGACCACCTACCTTCAAGGAAGTCTTCCAGGTTTCTGCTTTTCCATTTCCACTAAAACCGACTTACGTTAAGTACTTTTTCCCCATATCTCTCATTCCTTATTTTTAGAGTCTGCCTCAGCCGACTGCCCAGAATCCTGGAGCCAGCATCAAGTGGGAATCACTGGCTGAAGGTTGGCTTTCTAGCCGGGAGATCCCTGCTTCATCCAAGCCCAGCCCTTAGTCTGTGCAATATAGTTGTGTGTGTGTGTGTGTGTGTGTGGAAGGGAGAGCTCACCTGCAGAGAGCAGAAGGCCTGGGTATAGGGTGGCATCCGGACCAGGTAGGAGGCGACAATGATGGCCGAGGAATAGTGAGTACAATAGTGGCACTGGACAGTCATGTCTCCTGCAATGAAAGGACATGTCTGGAGCGGATTTCCCACCTGTGCTGGGACAGACTGTAGACACACAGGATCTACGATGCTCAAGCATAAGCAGCGGGCACAAGCCCTGCTCAAGAGAGCACCTGCAGGCCATTGGAGCCTTGGTTCTGCTCGCAGACGCCATTATGATTTGGCCAGTAGCCACGGTGATGAAAAGCCCATTCAAGACCCTCAGCTGCACCCCCGAGTCCTCAGTGTTCTACTCCCAAGAATGTGGGCAGGGTCAGTCTCTGGGAAGGCTGTACTCAGGATTCATGAGGAGACAGTGCTTTGGTCTTCTGGGTTAAGGGGTACGTAGAAAGCCCCAGCGTGCCTACAATCCCACCAGCGCAGTCGGCAAAGGCCTGAACCAGCTCCCTGCAGTGACTGCTCAGCCATCTTGCCGCCAGCCCCATGCCCAGCCTAAAGCCCTCCCTTGTGCCACGCAGGAGCTCTCTAAGTTGGATGTTTGGGAGGTTGGTGGAGGAACTTGTACAGGGTCCCAAACGCAATGGGCAGCTCAAATGCACGCCCAGGGTGAGATGGGAGAAAATGGTGAGATCCCATGCTCCCCTCCCTGCTTCTGTGGAAGGAACCACAGAACCACGCCTGGCAGCCAGAGGAACAGCACCCGGGTGGGGGACCCGAGAGGGGTCCTAATGATTGGGCTTCAGCCTCAGGAGGGAATAAGCAGGGCAAGGAGGGTCTGCCCAACCATCCACATCCTCCCATCTCCCCTGAGCGAGTCTGAGTGCCAGCCCCACACAGCGCAGGGGTCCCGGGCGGGTCTCTGTGGGGCTGTGCGGGAGGCAGCAGGAGTCTCCCTGTCCTGCTGAGAACCTGCTCACCAAAAGCAGTGTCTCGGCCGTGTAAGCCTTTCCAAAGCACAATGCCTCTGGTTCCCAAGGGAATTTTTCATGGTTCATGGATGCCTGCTCCTTCTTTTAAATTATATGCTTATTTCAAAGTATTTGAGAAAACCAATAGAGCTAGCATCAAACGCATGACAAAAATTTCCTTTTAAAATATGTTCATCAAAGTTCAGAAGTGAATAGACCTAAAGAAAAAAAAAATTAAGGCAATAGGAGTTCAAGTCGCATGCGAATGTGGCAAAAATTATAAATGTGATGTGCAGATGAACAAAGTTTGGGAAGTAGATTCTACAGTCAAGACAAATACAGGCTCCACCATTTAGAAGCTCTGATCTTGAATGCGTTGCTTGAATTCTCTGAGTTTAATTCCCTTCTCTTTGAAACGGACCACTGTATTTAAGGCTGGCCTGTGCCTGGAATATACAAAGTGCTGAATGAATGTACTCTCTGAGCCTGGCGGCCCCTAGGTCTGGACGTAGTAGCTCTTAGCATGGTAGTTCTCAGTCCACCCAGCACCTCACCACAGCCTTACTTAAATCAGAATTTCTAGAGGTCGGGCCTGGACATCAGTATGTGTAAAACCTGCCCAGGTGATTCTTCCATGCAGTCAGGATGCAGACCAGCAGACTAGAGCTATTCCCTATCCCAATATAATTGCTTCCACACTAGGTGAGAGCCTGAATTGTTACCAACGACCGTTTCAAGGCACTTGAATGAGCAACACTGCAGGAAAAAAAAAAAAAGTCAAGCTGGGATCTACCCACCTTCAGTCTTCTCAACTTCTTTAAACCTCTGGATGAATTTCAGCTTCCTTTCCTTGGTCTGAGCCCCCATAGGCTTTGAGAGATCGCGGAAAGTCTTGGGATTCGTCAAGTTCAATGTCTAGAAGGCAGACGTGTGGCTGGAGTTAACTCCCCTCAGACCCTCTTGTGCCCCAGCGAGACTTCAGGAGCCACGCTCTTTAGTTTTATGGTTCTCTTTATTGGTTTATCGTCGTTTGGTCTGACCCCCCTCCAGTGATTAGCAGGCGTGCAGGGGTTTTATGGCCCCAGAGCCAGTGATCCACAAAGTCTTAATAAGGGAGAGAAGGAAAATAAGAGGAGGGGAAGATTGAGTTCACAGTGAACCTGTTCCAAGTTGACCCAAATCAGACCATCGCCACCAGTTACTGAAAAGAGACTTGGAAAAGAATCCCTGTTGTCAATGAGGTGCTTGGCTGCAGCCCTCGTGGAGAGAGCTGTATGCCTCAGGAGTTCACGGTCCTTGCAGGGAATCAAACTAACTCCCTAGAAGTTAGAAGTCCTCTGTTCTGTTCGGGGAGGAAATGTGAGGAACGGCCTCCTTTTTCTGGAGCCCACTCCCTTCTGGGCAATGACAGCATGTAATGTCGCCCCTTCCTCTGTCATGGGGAATATAATACAGGGCAGTGGAGACCTGAAGTTTCTAGGGCCAGGTGTCCTCAGAGATGTCTGCTTTTAGCAGAGATGTTCTACATTTTAGCAGAGGAGCTGTGTATCCCCCAGGATTTGTGTCTGATAGAAAGTGTTTCTTTATACTTCTTTTCCTTTTCACCAGCCGTGAACCACTGCAGTCCCCCTGGGGAGGCAGGGCCTGTCCCCATCTCAACATCTGCAGAACCGGGGGTGGGGGCAGAGTGAGGCAGGCGCTTCTCAGACCCCTGTGACCAACGGCACACGTGGAGAGCCATCTCAGCCACCGCTGATTTTGCCAGGACAGAATGGGGTTTCCGAGCTGCTGGATCTCCTGATTTTCCAAAAGATATTGGAAATCCAGATTTTTAGGAGAAATCTCCCGATTTTTAAATATGGGTAAGTAATCAAAATTTTGGGCTAAACAAAAGGGGCTGGTAAACCACCACTTTGCAACATGTGAGTTAAAGCTGGGATTTGCATGTTTCATTTTTGAAATACCTCAGCCTCAGATGGATCATTAGGGAAATAAAAGGCAATATGCAGCTGGCCATAAAAGTTTTGTGTTAAATGTTTTCATTGGGGATGGGAGGTCACAGAAGACTGAGGCTCCCTCTCCCAAATCCTGAGTATCAGTCTTCCAAGCAGCCCTAGGCAGGACTGGCAAGGACTGGTCTGAACCAGGACTTAGCCACCTTCTGTCCTTTACACACACAGCTCAACACCCCTCTTGATGGCCAGAGTCCAGGTGGTTGGGACAGTGCTTCATAACCAGGTCATTCCCAGCAATGTCACACTGGCCTAGCTGTGTCAGCTTTCCTCCTCCCTCCCCTGCCTGCTGAGGTCCAGGGACAGCTAAAAGAGGGAATTATCTGGCCTTGCCGTCAGCCTCCCCTGTCCCAACATGTCTCAGTCCAGATCCTGAGTGAAGTCCCCATACCAACCTCTTGACTGCTGAAGTCAAGATACAGGGGGGTAGTTTGCTCTCTCTGGGTCTCTCTCTGTCTCTCTCCTATCCTCTACCTCCCACCCCATACACGTGGATTCAAGGAATAAATTCTTGCTTCACTTGAATGACCAACATTGGTCCATGGCAGTGTCTCAGCAGATGGGTATCAGTCTCCTCGACAGTAGTAAGTCAGGAAGCCCTCTGGGGCTCATGTTAGCAACTGTCCTCATCATGTTGATCATCCCACAGGTGGGGTCACCTTCCCACAGGTGGGTCTGGACAGAAACCCAAGCAGCCAGACTCCAAAGGCCTCCTCTGGGGTGAAGGGCCAAGCATGGAGCAGCCCTCAGGCCCAGGTGGACTGAACCTCGTAGCAGAGACTCTGCATGCTGATTTAGTATGCTCTGGTCTTCAGGGTCAGGAAGCCTCAGGACATCTGAATAGCATCCACGCGAGCACTATACCTGTGAGGTGTAGTCAGCCAGGACCCAGGGAAACACTGGATACTGCGTATAGTCATTGTAGGTCCTCCCAGCCATGGTGTTGAGGTGCATGAGATACTCAAAATTGCTGATGTCCCTTTTCTACCAGAAGAGACAAAGAGGAGATAAACCAAACACGACTAGCATCTTCCTAAGGACCATGGGGGTCCATTTCCCAGCCCTCTGCAGCCTTTGCTGTGTGGGTGAGAGCGGGCAGCACACACCTCCACCGTTCCCCGTGCACCTTGCGCCCGAGCCAGGCCAAAGCGGGGAAGCCACACTAATTCCAACATGAACTGAAGCAAATATATTCAGGAAGCAAAGTCGGCCAGAAAAAAAAAAAAATACAGCTCAGCAGTCCAAAGCCAAGGATAAAGCCTTCTTTTGTTTAGCTGCTGGGTGTGATACTCAAAAGTTGATTAAAATAAGAGCACAAATGCTGTGGGTGAACTTACTGCTAACCTTATGATTAAAAAAATAAGCCGATGGGGCACCTGGGTGGCTCAGTCGTTGAGCTTCTGCGTTTGGCTTAGTCATGGTCCCAGGATCCTGGGATCGAGCCCTGCATCGGGCTCCCTGCTCTGCGGGAAGCCTGCTTCTCCCTCTCCCACTCCCCCTGCTTGTGTTCCTGCTCTCGCTATCTCTCCCTCTGTCAAATAAATAAATAAAATCTTCAAAAAAAAAAAAAATAAGCCGAGGGGACCTTGCAGTAGAAAGAAGCCCTCACCAAGAGACTGAACGATCTGTCTTCCTCTGGGAATTTAGGGACTTTCTTTTCTGTCCCCACCTATTGGGATAACACTCATTCTTAGGGCCTTAGAATGTACAGTCAAGGTGGAGTCAGGAGTGTATTTGGGAAAAATCAGCAGGTCCAAGGGGTGAATGAAGAGTCCAGTATAGCTGTCACCTCTTATATGGGACCCACATGCTGTGCTCTCCCTTGGCCCTCTCGCTGGGAAAGGATTTTGGACAAGAGTGACCAGGAGTTAATTTCTTGTTGTCATGTGATCTCTAGGACTGGCCCTCTTGGGGTCCCTGCCTTCCACTGAGAATCAGAGGCTAAATGTCCGTTTATTCAAGCTGAGAGTCATGCATGTCTTCTCAGAAGAAGAACTGAACACTGGAGCTCCTCTACACTGTGTCCACTTACACATATGTGTCTATCTGCATGGATGGGGCAGGTGCATACACGTGCACACACACACACACACACACACACACACTACCCAGCTCCCGCTCCAAGCCTCAAGTACCACTTTCAATCACTAAGATCTTTTTAGGGAAATACTTGGGACATTTTGGTAAATAAAAAAATAAGATCCCTCCCGAGTCACCCACATGCTTTGTCTCTCCACCACTGGGGCCTGAGCTATTTCTGATTTGCCTTCCCACAGGGTTTCCTCAGACTTAGAGTCCTCTTCGGGGGTCACTATACCTGCCACCTCTGCAGCATGGTCCTGTCGCAGCCAGGGTATCTCCTGTGGGACAGAAAACAACGATGGTGACCCAATTTCTCAAGGCACAAATGAGGAGAGAAGTGGGAATTCCTGGGGCTCTGTGGGACCAGGGCATCCAGGAAAGCCACAGACTTTCCAGGGCATACAGCAGCTCTCCCAGTGGGGTAAAAAGATTATTACCCAAGCTCTGCCTGACCCCACACTACCCTACTGAAGGTTAGGCTCTTGCAGTCACTTTTGCTGGAATATTCTCCTGCTGCCTTACGTGTGGCCTGTGGGGAAGCCCTGGGGCCATGCAGAAGCGGGCTCAAGCCTCACAACCCCACACCAGATTTCCCATAGCCATGCCTCAGCCTGCTTTCCCCATGTACGTGTAATAGACATGATTATAATATACTGACACGTCACTATAATATATGCACGTAGTTTAAAAAATGTGGAAGCCCACAGAATAAAAGAGTGTCCAAACTATCACTCCTACTCGAGAAGTAGCCACAGTTAACGGTTTCCAGAATAGTTTTACCCCGTGCCTGTCTATATGCTTATATTGTTGTTGTTTTTTAACTGGCGATATGTGGGAAGACCTCATCTGTGCTTTGTCACTGGCTTCACAGCAGGGTGGGGTCAGCTCACATCACTCTGTGACATTTGTTTCTACAGCAGCGGGACCCCACTGTACAGACGGATCGGGACTGGTTGAGCCTGCCCCTGGGGTGGGTTTGGTCCTTGCAAATGACCTTTCCGTGACCAGCTTCGGACATAAATCTCTGGGTACTTGGGGAGCGTATCCATGAGAGAAATTTCTGGCAGCGGTTCTACTGGGATAAAAAGTATGAGCATTTTCCAGTTTGCTACATATTGCCAAACTGTCCTTTTAAAAGGCTGTACTGATTTCGGTTTCTACACATATAATTAAGAAATACAAACCGAACCAAAGAAATACCATTTTTGACCAGTGTGGTGGGAAAAAGTTTAGAAGGGCAACAAGATGTCGTGCCGGAAAGGGCGCGGGGAGGGGTTTTTTTCCACGTGAAATGCCCCTTCTGCTCAGCACGGATTTGTGGAGTCCAGTTCCTTGGCCTCTGTGGTATCCCTTGGTTCCTTTTCCAGCTCTGTTTTCTTCCCCTCTCTGTCTCCACGAGACTCTCCTTCTGCTCTCAAGACCTTTGTTCAAGATGTTCCGCCAAGCCCAACCACATCATGTCTCCTCTTTCCATCCCTTCCCTCTTCCTTGGTCCCGTTCAGGTGCCCACAGATGCTACCCCACATGCATTTTATGTTCTCCTCACGTGCCCTGCACCAGGGTCCTTCTGGCCTCCATCTGTCTGGACAAGGCCTGGCTGCCCAAGGGCCCTAGCAGGGGCAGTGCCCCTTCACTTTCCCACCACGGCACTGTCAGCCTACACTCTGTCTCAGGTTTCCCATCCCTTTTCATTCAGTTCTTTCCTTGGTAGGTTTTTTATAAACAGAATGCAGCTCCCAGGCTGGGATTCACCTCTCCCCCCACCCCACCACCACCCCCAGTAGAGAAACCATCTATTGCGTCCACTCTATCTAGGCAAACAGCAGTAACAATGAAGAGAAGCAAAACACGCTCAGGTTTATTGCTGTAGGTTGCAAAGGCTCAAGTGAAGATTTGGTTCTCTTGCTCAGTCTGTGAGCCTGCCACCTATCCCAGTTCTGGAAGGCAGGCTGCTTGGAAGGCTACAAACACGGGCAGAGCCCAGGCTGGAGACAGTGGGGGTCACCACCTTGGAAAGGACATGTGCTGAGCCTTCCTGAGGAGGTCGAGCTACAAGAATGCGGAGTTAGTGTGGCAAAGCTCGCCAGTCTTGCTACTTTATTTTGTTAAGTTTGACAGGGGAGCAGGAAATAAGGGAACAAAATGTACCTATTATAGTTCAGGAAATAAGAGACAGCCTGGGTCATTTTCCGTTTCAGAGAGGGTTCTAGAATTTTACCGGTGGTCTTTTGTGACACTGCCCCCAGGTGGAATGGTGTGCAGAAGACAGAGGCATGTCACCATCCCATTTCTCATTTCATCGGCTATGCGCTCCAAGGAAGATCCATCGTTCCCTTACTACCAGCAAAGGACGCTGTTACCAGCAGTGCCAAGACACCTAACCAGAGGTGAGTCATAGTTTTCAACTTTTTATCTGTTTGTTTTATTTATGTGTTTGTTTTATGTTTCCATTTTCACTTCCACTTCTGTCCTATTTCATTTGAGAATTTATGTGTATACTCCCACATGGATTTTTTCTTTTTTTTTTAAATTCATATATATATATTTTTTTTTTTATCTGTGTCCAGTTGACACACAGTGTTATGTTAGTTTCACGTGGACAACACAGAGATTCGACATCTCTAGACGTTATGCTGTGCCCCCCACAAGTGTAGCTGCCGTCTGTCCCCATACAGCTCTAGTACAACATCACTGATGGTGTTCCCTACGCTGTGCCTTTTACCCCCGTGACTGATTCATTCTGTAACTGGAAGCCTGTATCTCCCATCCCCTTCATTCATAGGCCTAATAATAATAATACCAGTAATCATCACGCGTTAAAGATTGCAAAGACTTTTTACCCGTTGTCTAATTCCCACAGCGACCCAAGAGAGCAGCCATTACTTCACGTAGAGATGAGGAAGTGGATGGGTGGGGCGAGGGAGTGGCGTGAAGCCAGGGGGAGTCCACCCCAAGCCGGCGCAGAGCAGGGACCCGTGAGCCCCTGACACACTGGGCTGTGCAAAGCACCCGTCCAGACTAAACCTTGCCCCAGGGCCCTGACTCACAAGACAAGCTCTTTCCTCCGACGGGGAGAAGAAAACAAAAGTAAACAGAAAACAACAACAGCAAAAACCTTAGTTCTGGCTGACTTAGAAGGCAGTTACCTGACAAATTAGTAATTTGTGTACCTCTGGAGTTAGACAATGAGCATTAGCGAAGTCGCCAAGTTATTCCTGCATACCCGTGAGATAAACATGAAGCTGGAGAGGCATTAAAAGTCTGGAAGGGTATAGAACAGGAAGTTACCTCCAGATGCTGAAATTGAGCGGCTTTAATTCTCATGAGGTTTTACATATCTGCATTTTAAAATGTATTTATCTTCTTGGGCATTTTCTTCTGTAAAATATTGATTTTATTTTTGCTTATCTGTGTTTTATGATTTTCACATTATTTATTTTCTAATTTGAATGATGTACTTTTACAAATAGTCTAATTAGAAACACACTGGGTCATAGGACTTCGGGTAACTTTTAATTTTCTATTTATCTGAATTTGGTAGTTATTTTGAATCCATTTATTGTCTAAATTAAATGACCTGTTTTCTTTTAGTTTTGCATTAAACAAAACAGTGGTGGTATCCATGTATTTGAAGTTTTTGTGGTTAGCCATATTTTTATTTTTTAATTTCAACTATTTCCTTTTGCTTTTTTTTGTACTTTTCAAAATGTGTAGTGCTTGGATTCATTTTGTAGTTCAAATTATTTATTTGCTAATTATCTTACTTATTTCCAACTTGATTTGGGTAGTGCAATTTGGAGCATATTTATTTCTTCATTTCTATGTACGCATTTTCAAATTTTTCTACGAGGTTATTTTATTATTTGCATAATAGTTTTCATATGTAACTTTTTGCTGATCTTCTCAATTTCTGGGAATTTAATTTAAAGAAAAACACTGAACAAAAAGATTATAAATGTACAAACACATTCGTTGCAGCCCTATTCACGATAGCACCAAATTGGAAACAACAGGAAAAGCACAGGAGTGTGCTTTTGTGTATTACACGTTCAATCGAAAGGTAGATTTTAGAAATTACACATCAGCATTTGACATATTAAGTGAGGAAAAAATGACTATACAACTGTATGGTTTTTACAAGCATTATGGTCATTCTGACTTCATAGCGTGAAAAGGGCACCAAGAGAAAACTGCAAGAAATAATGAAATTCAAATAAACAGATAAAAGATAGCTCTCTCACAGATCAAAGAACTGAAAAAGCTATTTGGATAAACAACAAATCGAGTGATAGTTCGTGGGACTCCCTCAATGCTTCATAGAGAAGTAAGGTATCTGTCCCTTAAAAGGGGCAAGCATAGCTGTTTCTCCCCGTTAGCAATGTCCACTTCCGGCGTGGCCACGGCAAGCTGGTTCTGCCTGGTGGCGAAGTGCCCACCGCGCTGCTGGGGCGGCTGGGAGGAAACTCCCCCCTGCAAGAAGCCAGAGGAGCCCAGGCCCCGGCGTCCCCCCCCGCGTGGCGGTGTCCTGGAGACATTGTCACCTATTGTGTTCTCTCACCTTGCAGGCTGGCGTCAAGATTATGCTAATTAATTCCAGGTCCCAAAGTCTCCTGTTGCCTGGTGACAAAGTTTCACAGTTGAGGAGGAGGAACTGGCAGGAACAGGGGTAAGTTTTTCTCTGGTGGTGGCCTTACATTTATCGATTTACTTGAACTCTGCCAAACAAACTCTGCTTTTTGCTCTCCTCCTTTGAGTCAGCAACTTTGGAAATGCTGGTTCTCTCTGTGCTTTGTTTACAAACCCCAGACATGAGCTAATTCATTATTTAGGAGAGGAGGAAACTGGCCCAGAGCCCCAGGCAGGAAGGGCAGCTAGCAGGGGCCCTAGCTGGGGACCCAGCCGGCCTTTCTCCGGTGCCCGGGGCCATGGGCCACCTTGGGAAAGATGGTGTGTGAATCTGTGGGGCTTTGCAGTCAAGCTTGGGTCTCTTTCCAAAGTCTGTGTCTGGAGCATTTTGCTGTTCCACAAGCAGGGAGAGACTATAGAGTTTGAACTGCTTCTTAGCAGTGACTGACCCCCAAAGAAAGTGCAGTGTGGGAGCTCTTCTTCACTCAGGAGGCTGGGGCCTAATGACTGCTGACTATGGTGGGGGTTGGGGGGCACAGTCCATCTTTTGAGAAGTCTGGAGGCAAACCCTTGGCACAAGCTACCCTGAATGCTGGGACCCATTAACAAGCAGTCAAGTCTAGGCTGGGCTGGGCCTTGCAAGGAGAGACTC